GTTGTCGAAAACCTTGTGATTTCGACAAAGCCTCCAAGTCTGTGGGAAACTATCCCGCCGGCACGCGTTAGCGGCAACCGTCGCCGGTGGCACTAGCCGCTTACTTTACATCCATGATGTAATTAGCCAGACTAGATATCTAGTCGACACAGGCGCCGAAGTCAGCGTCCTTCCTGCTACAGCAGCAGATCGACAGAAGGATCCTAACTTCAACCTACAGGCTGCAAATGGAAAACCAATTGCAACCTATGGTCGGAAATACGTCTATCTGAACGTAGGTTTACGCAAACCTATTCAGTGGATTTTCCTAATCGCTGACGTCACAATGCCCATCATTGGCACGGACCTACTTAATCATCATGATTTGCTCGTAGACGTCCGCCGTAAACGACTAATTGACAACACTACTAGTTTGTCTATCAAAGGCATAACTTACAGTGGCCCCAGCTTGTCAATCGTTAAAATGAAAGCAATCCTCGATCCGACGTTTCAACCGATTGTTGACAAATATCCGGAACTGAATTGCCCATCTAACGACCTCCCGTGTATAACCAGCAATGTCATGCACCACATCATAACCTCAGGACAGCCCGTGACATCTAAAGCACGACGACTGGCCCCTGACAAACTGAGAATTGCCAGAAACGAATTCGATCATATGCTCACCCTTGGCATCATTCGGCCAACGAATAGTCCATGGGCATCCCCGTTGCATATGGTACCGAAAAAGGATAGCAACGATTGGCGACCCACTGGTGATTACCGGCGAGTGAACGCCAAAACAACTCCTGATTGCTACCCTTTGCCTCACATACACGACTTGACGGCAACGCTATCTGGAGCATCTATATTCTCCAAAATCGACTTGGTTAAAGCATATAACCAAATTCCCATGGCAACGGAAGATATTCCGAAAACGGCTATCATCACGCCTTTCAGACTTTTTGAATTCCTACGTATGCCATTCGGCCTCCGGAATGCGGCCCAAACATTCCAACGCTTCATCAACGAAGTATTTCGCGGTCTCGACTTTGTATACGCATACTTAGATGACTGCCTCATTGCCAGTCCAGATAAGGAAACTCACTTTGGACACTTGGACTTGGCATTTGAAAGGTTACGCCAACATGGTGTTACCATCAATATACAGAAGTGTCAGATAGGCGTTGACTCACTCGATTTTCTGGGTCACACTATTGACTGCCAGGGCATACGCCCACTGGCTACTAAAGTCGAAGCAATACTGAACTTTCCCGAGCCAAAGACAGTAAAATGCCTTCGCACTTTTAACGGCTTGGTAAGTTATTACCGACGTTTTATTCCTAATTGTGCTTCTCTAATTCAGCCATTAACCGATCTCCTTCGAGGGAACAACAAGGCTATCGAACTCGACACATCTGCTCGACATGCTTTTACTCAGGTAAAGAAAGCTATTGCAGATGCCACCCTTCTTATGTATCAGGATCCAACGGCACCGTTGAGTATCTCGGTTGATGCATCAGACACTGCAATCGGCGCAGTTCTGCAACAACTAGTTAACAACGAATGGCAACCACTCGCCTTTTTCTCGAGGAGCCTTCAAGTAGCTGAAACGAAGTACAGCACATTCGAAAGGGAACTTCTAGCTATGTACTGTGCTATACGTCATTTTCGACATTCAGTTGAGGGTCGTGAATTCACCATTTTCACTGACCACAAACCTCTGACGTACTCTCTGAACTCAACTTCAGATAAGTATTCACCCAGGGAATCGCGACAACTAGATTATGTTTCACAGTTTTCATCCGATATTCGCCATGTTTCCGGAGTGAACAACACTGTGGCAGATGCCTTGTCACGTATTTGTTCTTTCACCCAAATCGATGGCATAGACCTTGTAAAACTGGCTCGTCTTCAAAAAGAAGATATTGAGCTTCAGCGTGAGTTGTCGAAAACAACTCTACAACTAGCCAAGAAACCCTTAGGTATAGGAAAGGATACTATTCTGTGTGACATTTCCACTAGTACTCCTCGCCCCATCGTGCCTAAAAGTTATCGCCGTAACGTCTTCAATACGTTGCATGGCTTATCCCATCCAGGTATTCGAACTACTGTCAAACTCGTAACTAGTAGGTTTTGTTGGCCTGGTATTAACAAGGAAGTAAGGGAATGGGCACAGACGTGCTTAGCTTGCCAAAAGTGCAAGGTAATAAGACACACTAAAAGCCCCCTTGGCACTTTTCTTATCCCTGATGCCCGTTTCGAACACGTCCATGTAGATTTAGTTGGCCCCCTTCCAGAATCTCATGGATACACCTATATGTTAACCTGCATCGATCGCTTCACACGATGGCCTGAAGCAGTACCCATCAAGGATATATCTGCTGAAACTGTCGCACGCGTCTTTGTAGAGAGATGGATCGCAAACTTTGGATGCCCATCTTCCATAACAACTGATCGTGGGCGGCAATTCGAAAGCGGTTTATTCTTCGCTTTGACTAAAATCCTTGGTTGCATGCGTTTTCGAACGACAGCCTACCATCCTCAAGCTAATGGTATGGTAGAACGTCTACACAGACAGTTGAAAGCTGGTTTATCAGCTGCAAATAACACCCACTGGACTGAATCCCTTCCGTTAGTTCTCCTAGGGATACGAAACGCCTTAAAAACCGATGCTGGTTGTACTACCTCTGAGCTAGTATATGGCACAACACTACGACTGCCAGGTGAGTTTGTTTCTCCCTCGAGCTTCCCACCAGTGGTAGATCACTCCTCATACGTCAGCAGGCTTACAAACGCTATGCGTTCAGTTAAACCTGCTCCTCTCCGACCACAGTCCATTGATGTTTTCGTTCACCCTTGTTTAAAATCTTCTTCACATGTATTTGTTCGTCGCGACTCGGTACGTCGTCCTCTAGAACCCCCATATGACGGACCATATAAAGTGATTAAACGTACTGATAAATTCTTCGTTTTAGACAAAAAAGGCCGCGAAGACACCGTCAGTATCGACCGTCTCAAACCGGCTTACTTGGAAGGTAATCCTATTAGCCTGGAGCTTAACGTACCCGATAATTCACAAGTAATTGAATCTACTTCAGTCTTCGAAGAACTCCCTAGCACGGCGAAAGCCACTGAACCTTCGTTCGATCACTCTAAAAAAACGCGTTCTGGACGTCACGTTAGATTCCCAGAATACCTTCACACCTATCTCACATAACTGAGTGACACATCAATTCTTTTTATGTTGCGTCATTTAACACAAGTAAATGATATTTTTCCTATAACCGTACATAAAATTATATAAGATGTATATATTTTTTCCCGATATTTTGAACTTTACATTATTTTACTGTATAGTAGATGCATGTCATATTTTTTTTTGGTAAAAAAAACGCTTATTTGGTACATTTTTCTTGACAAGGTTCTCAGCATTCTTGTTTTGTTTTCCAGGTGCAACGGGCACTGGACAGGAAACAAACGAAGCACGGGATCCAACGAACAACACTGAGGAAGCTATGTACAGACACCATATTAGCATAGGCAGACAGACCAGCAGGCTCTCAATCAAGCCGCTCGGAAGATTTTTTTCACCCATAAGGGAACCATCGAGATTTTTTTACTTCCGGCTGGTCATGTCTTAGGGTCCTCACAAACCCACTAGGGGGGGAGTGAGCTGTAGCGGTAAATAATTCCCCAAAATTATTAACCACAGCAATCATCACTCAACATTGGATGCTGACCATCACTGTTTAAGTCGACTTGTTTAGCTGAAGGCTTACGGTCAAGCATCCCCGCCATTTGGTGCTCTTCGTCGTGTCACGTGCGTGCACGATTACTAGCTAGCTAAGCATTCATTCCTACCCGCGATTTGGTCCCAAAATATATATCGTATTTGGACGACAAAATCTGGTCTTTTGCTTTACCATTTGGTACTCGAAGAACGAACACTATAGTGGTTGTTGGTATAAGATCTTGCGTTAGTATAATCCGTACAACTCGCGAACGTTCGATACCTACAGCCCCCTAAAATATTATTCACAAAACAGAGGACATGTCGTCCTCACATCAACGGAAATTTCCAAACCGTAAGTAGATAATCAATACCTCACTGACTGTATCAGTCAAGAATTTATGGCTGACAGTCAATCCTAACACTAATGGTGTTTCATGTACAGTCGTAAAAAAGCATATTTAATTTATGATGTGGGACGCAGTTAAAAACAATTTATACAAATCAAAATGTACCATAAGTGGAAGAGATTGTGTATCTTAAAGTGGAGGGGGGCATGTTTCTCTCATTCTGAAAGATAATTATGAATGTGCTCTGCGAATCTCGCATTTCGTCCAGAACCTGTATTGTTTTGGGTCTTGTTACAAGATTTGGTTACCTTCGCTGTTCTGGTAGCTTCTTCGAGGACTAGTGAGTATTCAGCCAGCTGCGTAGTATTCCGAACGACTGGTTAAAAATACATGGGATTGCCTTCCAGAAAGGGTGGTTTTAGACGGTCAATATTGACACACATTTCTTAGCCTTTTTTGTCTAAAACAAAAATTTACCCATACATTTTAATGACTTTATGTGGTCCATCTTGTGAGGACTCCAGAGGGCGACGAGTAGAATCACTACGAACCATTACATGTGAAGAAGCTTTTAGTTACAAGTTAACAAAAGCGTTCATGGATTGCAGTCGATGGGGGGCAGGTCTAATTAAACGAATTGAGTTTATGAGCCTGCTGACAAATGAGCAGTGACATACAGAAGGCGGTGGTGAGCTGAAGGGTGAAGCAAATTCACCGAGCAGGCGTGGCGTTGATACATATACTATCTCAGCAGTGATACAACTAGCATCATTTGTCAAAGCGTTTCGTATACCGTGGAGGACTAACTGTGGTGACTCACTCCAATGTGCAGTGTTCACGGCTGGCAATTTAGCCTAAACTATGTCACATGCCTGAGGATGGTAGGCCACTGTTCTGAATTGCATGCAGCCTAAGATTTTAGTCAAAGCTGAGAGAAGGCAACTTTTGAATTACCACCCGCTACCAGATGTTATGGGGGATGGGCATCCAAATTTGCAATCTGTCGTCTCAGATACATCCTTGAGAGGTGCTGCTTCAGGCTACCGTGTAGAACGGTCAATGCAGGTTAACATATAAGTATATCCATTTAAGGTTCTGCGAGAGGTCTAACCAAATCTACATGAAACGAGCATCTGGGATAAGAAAGGTGCCAAGAGGGTTTCTGTGTATCTTATTACCTTGCGCTTTTGGCAAGCTAAGCACGTATGAGCCTGTTCCCTTACTTCCTTATTAATACCAGGTCAGCAAAACTGACTAGTTATGAGCTTGACGATAGTTAAAATACCTGGGTGGGATAAGCAATGCAACGTATTGAAGACGTTAAGGCGATAACATTTGCGCACGATGGGTCGAGGAGTACAGGTTTAAATGTCACATAGAACAGTGTCCCTTCCTATGTCTAAGGGTTTCCCAGTCAATTGCAAACATGTTTTTGATAACTCATGTTGAAGCTCGGTATCTTCTTTTCGAAGACGACCCAGTGTCACAAGTTCTACAACATCTGTTTGGCAAGGGAATAGGTGCGCGACAAGGCATCTGCCAGTGTTGTTCACCCCGGATATATTGCGAATATCCGATGCAAACTGTGAAAAGTGATCGAGTTGTCGTGATTCACTTTGTGAAAACCTATCTGAAGTCGAGTTCAGAGAACACGTATGGAGTTTATGGCCAGTGAAAATTATGAATTCACGACCCTCCATTACATATCGAAATTGGTGTATAGCACAGCACATAGCCAGAAGTTCTCTGCTGAATGTGCTGCACTTTCTGTCTTCTCTTTGTAGACGACTCGAGAAAAGGGCAAGTGGTTGTCAGTGATTGTTGACGAGCTGTCGCGGAACTGTGCCGATTGCATTCTCTGATTCGTCGACGAAAATACTTGATGGTGCTACTGGATCCTGATACATAAATAATGGGTGTCCCCTGGAGCTATTCTTAAACGTAATGAAGGCATTTTTAGCGGACGCGTCAAGTTCGATGGACTTCGTATTCTCTCGAAGTAGGTCTGTTAGCGGCTGAATCATGGAAGCACAGTTAGGAATGAAGCGTTTGTAATAACTTACCAAGCTATTACAAGTGTGGAGCGTTTACGGCGTATTTGACTAGACTTTACTGGCCAGTGGGCGGGTATCCTGCAGTCAGTGATGTTGTTGGGGATGTTCAGTGAGTCTAATCCTGTCTGGCACTTTTGAATATTAATAGCAGCACCATGTTGGCGTAACCTTTTGAATGCTAAGTCCGAGTGTATAAGGTGAGTTTCCTTGTTTGGATTCGCAATAAGGCATTCTTCGAAAGATGCTTATGCAAAGTTGAGACTGCCGAATACTTCGTCAGTGAAGCGTTGGAAATTTTGTACTGGATTCTAGAGGCCGAATGGCATACGTAGAAATTCAAAAAGTCGGCAATGTATAATAATAGATATCTTCGGAATGACATCAGGTGCTATCGGGATTTGGTTATATGCTTTAACCCACTCTATTTTGAAAAATTAGTTGCACCAGATCATTTCAAAGTTAATTCATGTATATGAGTCAGTGGATGACATTCTGTGGTCGTTATGGCCACTCAACTGCAGGTAATCACCAGTGAGCCGCCAATCATTGCTATGCTTTTCAGTACTATTTGAAATGGAGAATCGGCTAAATGGTTCGAATTTTAATTCCACTGCCACAAGACGTTGAGGTGGGGAAACTCACTGTCAGATGCTTATGTAAAAATGCAAGAGGGACGAGGGGAAAAATTGGCGAACTCAAAATTCTACAGTCACACCTGGAGTTCAAAATAATAATCCTGGCTGAAATCTGGCTAATCCCTACTTTGCGAACAATGGAATAAGTGCACTTAGTGGTTCGAGTCAGGAGAGACTAGGGTAATAAGGGGGGCCGCTGTATACTTTGACAAGCCACTTAGATCCACACGTGCAACGGACTTGTGATCTACTGAGCTCCCAGACTCTGAATGATGTAATTTCGCCGTAGGGCATACCAAACACACACTGGTCACTAGGTTAGGTTGTCTAGGCCACAAAGTCAGCAAGTAGTGTGGCTAGAGCTCAGGTCTAACAGGAATGGTAGTCACACAAATTATGAGCCCTATATCTTGCCGAAGCTAACTGTAAATGAGTTCAAAGTCACTCAGGCAGCCTGAATGACTGATTCCGTAGAACCCCTTTATGTAGCAGCGGCCAAGCAGTCACAGTGTTTTGTCCTGTTCTGATTGAGCTTTTAAAGTGGGATGCTACATGACCTCGTCTGTGCTATTGTAAAGCACACAATACCGTAATTCTTAGACCTTTTTCCGACACAGTATGGCCCCTAGAGGCCCGAGGTACCTGTGGAGTTACTTTGAGAAGTGGTGGAAGGGATCACTCACACAGAGATCCCAGACACCGTCCCTCCAATCACAACACAACCGAAGAAATAATACTCATGACGGAAAACAGGCACCCAGAGAAGAAGGCTTGGTCTACGTGGTGAATATTCAAGAGTCAGACCAACCACGACCCATACTTGGAACTCTGGAACCGGTGCAACACAAGGGTCAGAAGTGACACGAGGTAATTTTAGGCAAATCTTGTTGGAAAGCTCCTTGCAAACTCCAAGACTTTTACCCACTGAAGTCGAGGAGAAAACTCGCAAACCACGGGATACGTTCCTAAGTAGGTACAAAAGTTCATTATCTCAATGGTTTGACACATTCAGTATGACCTTTGACAAACAGTTAAACAGCATTGTGGGTTTTACCGGTATAGGCTAAAAACGCTGCACTGCTAGTTTACCGGAAGAATCCCTACTGATAACTCTTTAGATTAACTTGGTATTAGTGATAGGGAAGTTACGGAAACTCACATATGGAAAATCTCCAGGTTGTGACGACATTTCGCCATCTATTTCAAAACAGTGAGGTGAAGCTCTTTGTATGCCCTTATGCAACCTGCTCCAACACTCAATGGATTCAAAAAAACCTATCAAGGTAGTGGAAGAAAGCCATCCTTTCTGCTATTTTAACAGGTGGCGATAGGCAAAATCCCATCGGTTACTAAACAGTGGTGCCACTTCCGGTGGGATCAAAAATGCTGCAAAGTCTGATTGATGTCGATATCAGGAAACAACTTGATAGGACTATTGGACTCCGTGAAGCATAAAGTGGTTTCAGAACAGGTAGATCCCGGGTGACAAACCTGCTACCTGCATGGAATGATTAGACATCACGCTGGGACATGAATGTTCCCGTCCATATAATCTTTCTATACTTCCAGAAGGCATCTGACACAGTTCACCATGACCTTCTTCCACACAAGATAAGTCAGGCAGGTACAGGTTGCCCACTTCAGTAGTACTTGGAGGATTACCTAGCTGAAAGGAACTAACGTCAGGCGTGTCCGATCGTCCTAGCACAGTTCGCCATCAGGAGTATCGCAAGGTTCTACCCTAGGGCCATTGATGTTTTTGATTTGAATCAATGACCTGCGTTGCCATCTAAGCTGCCTGCTTTTCCGCGCAGACGACGTCAAGATCTGGAGAGTAATAAAGTGCTCGAAAGACTCAGTTAGGCTAAAGGCAGACCTAAAATTTCTGAAAGATTGGACGATGGTCAATGGTGTGACTTTCAACCAGAAAAATGTTCCAATTGGTGCAAATACACACCTGTAGGCTGAAGAATGTAAACTGCTCCCTGTGTAATGAAAAGCCATCCTGCTCAATGTCAGAGAGCGGTTTAGGTGTAGTTCTTACGGAAGCGATGGATACGAGGGTCAGTTGCCCGAAAGGTTGTATAGAGGGCATGCACAGTCATAGACTTTACACTTAGATGGTTAGGTGCACTCACTCCTGAGCATTTGCTGAGGTTGTACTAAACATACATAAGACCACACCCTTAAGTTCATAGTATTTTGGTGGTTTTCTCTGCTTTTGGTCTACGCGGAACGTGTATAACAGAAGTTGTGGGTGTAAGATCTTGCGTTAATATACATCATACTATTTGTGAGTGCCAACACCCTCAGCCTCTAAAATATCACTGCTCACCCGCTGCTTAAAAGAGACACTTACCTTTTGGAAAGAGGCCAAAGATGAGAAGCGGTAATGGGTCTCAGAAATAAACGGTATGATGAAAGGTTGAAGAGATTAGGTCTTTTCACACTTAGCTACCATCTGCTTAGGGGCGACTTAATTATTGCCTATAAAAGTACAAATGGCCAGAATCAACCAAACAGTGAATAGGTATAGGCTTTCTCGTGGGAATCCACGAAGGAGAGGTCATCAGAGAGCAAAGAATCGAGTGAATCCCTTTTTTCACATCGAGTTTGCCACCCCTGTAGCTCTCTATTGGCAGATGTGGCTACTGCACCGTCCGTGGACAGCTTTAAGCGGAGGCTGGACAGTCATGCAGTGACACAAGAACTGAGTCCAAGAGGTATATCCCCCTAAAACCTAAACATTAATAATGGGTATACACCTAAACTCTACTTTTACTTCTTCACTTTCCCCCTTATCTTAACCTTCTAACTATTCCAACTATTACGTCCCTTACACTACTTTTATTATTGATATATGGTTCAAATTTCATTAGCTATATGTTTTTACTCTTGCTTTTTAAGTCCGTATAATGTGAACTAATTGCATATATTATTATTATTAATACTTTTACCTTTCTTTTCGACCACACCGAACGACTAACGGGTGAAAGGACTAACTCCATTTAGAGTAGCAACGCGGTCATAACACACCGCGTACTGCAAACTACTTTACCAACCCCAGCACCACTCCTTTTGGAGTCAAGCAAAGCTGCAACAGTTGGGTGACAGGACGAGCTACGAAGAAGCTTGGTGAAGACCAAGAATCTTCACCTTAAATACAAGAAGCGAGCACAAAGAAATCAAGTTGGTTTACACTAGCTCGTAAAAAGGAAATTAGATATTGGAAAGCCTGTAAATTTTAAGCAACAATAATTAACCAATTATTCACGCCTGTAATGGACATAAGATTTTGGGAAAATTTAAAACTATTAATTTGTTTGTCTACTTCATTGAATGTTTGTTGTCAAGGTTTTGAGTTTCGACACTTACGAGGTTGCTACAAAATGAGTGGTTTAGGCGACATGAATTTAACGTCGGATGAGATCAGCAAGCTGAAGAATGCTTTTAAAGACCCAGAATTTCGTAAACTATTCAGAGAATATGCAGAAGAGATATCTGATCCCGTTAACAAGAAAAAGTACGTGATAAATCTATTGTATTTATTGGATATTTTATGAGTTAATCTCAATCTAACAATGCACATGGGGAAACTGCTTAGAACGTGAGTGTAGTGCTTGACCTACTTTCTTTATGTTTCCAATTTCTTTCAATTCACTACTACGAAATATTATTTCGAATCTCGGTGAAGTTACAGTATTTTAACTGTGTCTGTGATACGTATCACAGCCAAAGCCAAGGTTTCTCAAAAGTTTACATTGAAGAACCATTCAGACACAGGGAATAATATGAAAGGTCTTTTCAAATCAAATCATGCCTGCCTTTTTGCACTTAGAGAAGGTACAGACAGTGTTCTACTCATTTTCCAGATACTTTTTCTGTAAATCGATGCTGTCAGTCAGGGTTGTCAACTTTTAGATTAAAGCTTAGGGTCTAGGGTTATGGTTAGAATTGGGGTTAAAGTTAGGAATATAATTTAGAATTATAGCTAGAGTAAGGAGCAGGTTTGAGAGCAGTGTCAGAAATATCAACAGATCTCAAAGTACCGTAACCTACACTCACCTGGATAAATGCATATATTGCGCATGGTGTGATTTCCATATAAATCATCTGTGTAGTGACTGAGAGACATTCCCACAACACAAGCGACAACCATATATTATAGTATCATGTTTGGGATGTTTTTTAGTGCATTTTTAACCACTATGCTACTTTTTGCATCTGAATTCTGATAAGTTGTCTAGGGTAACTGTGGTTTTTTCGAATCTCTCATCCACTGATATGTCGTTAGGAGCAGGTTAAGTCGGTTTAGCCTCTCTAAGTGCAGGTTTTTGGAAGTTGTTACATTACTCAATCTTCTGTCACTCTCTAGCATACCCGTCCCATAACCTTCCACGAAATCTTGAAATAATTAGATTTCAGATTCAAATTTATTGGTTGAGGATAGAAGGTTTGGAACTTCTGTTATTTCCTTGCAAGTAAATTTCTGTACTTGTCTAAACCATTCTTGAATGAATCAGTTGAGGTTGCAGACACCACTTCTTCTGGGAGTCGTTTCTAGAAGTTTATGACTCGGTGTGAGAACCATTACTCAACACCGAAATGGTTTATTCTTGGCTCTTGAACTCTCCTGCTATGTCCTGTAAGGTGCTCCGACCTACTAGGAAGGAAAAGGGAGAGCAATTCAGGTTCATAACCATTATTTAAAATTTTAAACATTGTAATTAAATTTTCTCTTTGCCTACGGTATTATAGGGAGAAGAGATTTAAACTGTCTAGTCTTTCCTACTATGATAAATTAGTCATGCGAGGAATCATATGAGTTGCTTTCCTTTGAACCCTTCCCCTTTAAGACAAGGACTGGCTGCCTGGATACAGTTTTCCAGTCTTGACCTCATCAGAAATGTATATAAGGAGGTGAACATATTTCTGGTGATGCTAGTAAAGGTTCTGTGAATTGCCCATAAGGATCTGAATCTACGTGCAGCCACCGCGCGGCAATGTGCTGTAGTTTTTAAATCGTGACTTACTATAACACATAAATCCTAATGAGTCTGAACTGATGGGAGTATTATTCCCCCTAGTTCGTAGGAGCTGATGTTTGCTTGTCCGATGCGCATGGTTGCACATTTCGCTACATTGATAGGGAGCATCCATTCTCTGGACTACTGTGACAATTTGCTGAGGTCGTTTTGCAATGTGAGTGCATCACGGTTGTCCTTCAGCTCCCTCCACATTTTTAAGTCACCTGCGTATTGGACCATAGGGGAATCGGTGAGCAAAGATAGCACACTGATATACAAAATAAATAGGAGAGGTCTGAGTACCGTGCCTTCTGGCACTCCGCTACGCACTGCTGTCCAGGAGGAGAGTTTGGAGTTGATCATAACCCTCTGCCTCCTATCTATGAGGAATTCCCTAATCTAGTTCAGTAGGCTGCCTTTGATTCCAAGACTTTCCAACTTGGTGAGTAGTCTTTTGTGGGGAATTTTATCGAAGGCTTTGCTGAAGTCTATGAAGACGACGTCAACGGGTCTTCTGTTGTCCCTTGATTTGACAGGCATGAGAGGTTTCCATCAGAACCATACTGTCCTATGGATAACAAATAGTTTTTTTCCAGATATACCATGATACTTTTCTTGACGATTCTTTCAAATATCTTGATAAAAGTACTGGTGAGACCAATAGGCTTATAGTTTAAAGGGCTTTGTCTTGATCCTCCTTTGTGTATGGGGTTTACTATGGCGTCTTTCCAGTTACGCGGTAACACCCCATTTAGGAGAGATAGCTTGAAGATAGTGGTCAGTGGGTCGGCTATGTGAGCTCCTTATTAAGCCTTGGATGAAGATTATCAATACCCATTAATTTCCCTGCATCTAGTTTCTTTAGGCAGTTGTGCACGATGTCTTGGTCGACGTCAACGGAGTCGATCCTGTGTTCATCTGATGCAACCAGAGATGATCCTATGGGGAGTGACGACTCCTGTGTGAAGAGTCGGGAGAAGTACTCTACCACTGCTTATGCTTTTTCTTGATATTTTTCGATTATAGATACAGTAGATACAAGAACGCATTTTAAATACTGTTAAAATAGTGTTTATTATTTTTAATTATGTAGATATGAAGATGAAATAAAGTTAATGGAATTAGAACAGGGAATGGATGTGCAATTTATCAATCCTACCCCGGGACATTGTTTCAAAACTCGACATTGGCCATATGTCTTACAGTTTTCTGATAGCAAAACCACTTTAAAAGAAGAGGAGAAATCAACTAATGAATCCGTAAAAGTTTTCATAAATGTTTGCAGATCGGATGCAGTAGAGTGTCCAGAAATAAAGTCACAGAAAAATGATTCTTCGGTACATGGTGGTGGTGGCAGACCTTATTGGAGCATTCCGCATTGTTTTACTCCTCCCCGTGAAGACTTTGATAAAAGGAAAAACCATTCAATGGTGAGTTACTTTATATTCCAGGAGAATTTTATGCGGACAGCATTAAACGAGAAGTTTTAATCTTCATTTTTCCGTCTTCACATTGGTTAGGTATATGATGTGGTGTTTAATCCAAAAGCATTTGAACTCGCCAAGTCATCTATCGCTTTTAAAAGACTTCTAAACGTAACAGCAATTGAAGGCCTGCAGAAACAATACAACTTATGTCTTGGAATGACTTTCAAACAAGCATTACACTTGTTCAAACACAGGAAGAATACTGATTCAAAGAATCCGCAGAGTGAATCAGTTTATCCAAACTCTGTGGCTAACGATAATGCTTTGCTTAAGGCAGTCCACCTGTTAAATGGTGTATCATACAAAGGTGTTGCTCGGCCGACAGTAATTAGGCGACGACGCTTAGATTATGAACAACGTCAAGCTGAATTAAAAAGAAGAGAAGCAGAAGATTTGAAGTCTTGTACAACTGCTCAACAAAAGCAAGCTATGAAAAGACTCTCAGCCTATCCACCTTACGAAAATGCTGAGACTTTAAATGAGCCAAAAGATAAGATTGAAAGTAAGTTCCCTGTGTGTGTCTTTCTAATTTTGTTGTGACACGAATTAGACATTTATGAAATATGCCACAAAATATGTTTCACAAACACTTTTAAAAAGCACTGAAAACTATCCAAGTATTTCACAATTGGGATTGGAAAAGGCTTAAAACACTATAGAGTCTTTCAGACTACATTTTTAACTAGGAAATATTAGATTATCTAACAAGTCCTTCGTGACTGTGTATAAAAAATTGCCTTTCAATTTCACGAATTGAGAACTCTTGTTAGCAAACTGATCCAAGAAGGATAAACCTTTTCCCTATAATTTTGACTCACTAAATCCGGTTGATAGCCGCTACTTTGATGTCGTTGTCGAATACACATATCTCAGTGGAAAAAATATATCTGGAGGTCTTTATTTGCGACTATAATAAAGGCAGTTGACATCAAAGTGTAACTCGCTCTCAGTATGTCGCAGGCGTTATTGTTATTGTTTCCTTTAATTCTCAGAGGAACACAGGACTTCAGCCGCACGTTTCCATTGCCTTCGGTTCTCTGCCAACCTTTTCACCGTATTCCACGTCTGTCCACATTCTTTCATCTCCTCTCTACACGTCACCTCCTCCACGTCATCCTCGCACTGACGACCAACTCGCTACTTCCCATTGGCGCTCCACTCGAGAGCGATGGCCTGACGTGTGATGTCAATTCATGGTTTTGTAGCGGTAAGTAATTCCAGAAAGTTTTGACCACAGCAATCATCACTGAACATTGGATGCTGACCCTCACTGTTTAAGTCGACCTGTTTCGCGTGCTCTTCGGGTTGTGAGGGCGATTGTGAACGCTGGAAAGAACACTTCGAGGAACAGTTTAACTTGCCTACAGCCACACTGAGCCTCCCCGCCATCCAGCACACACCCGAATGGGACATAGACACTGGCCCGCCGTCTGTAAGTGAGGTCACCAAAGCTATCTGTAATTTGAAACGAGGCAAAGCGGCAGGACCCGACGGAATTATTCCGGAGGTGTTTAAATATGGGGGTGACATGCTAGTATATAGTTTAACTAAGGTACTAGGTAACGTCTGGGAATCAGAGACGGTTCCATCAGACTGGGGTAAGTCACTTATCATACCAGTATTCAAGAAGGGAGATAAGTCCTCATGTGATAATCATAGAGGAATCAGCCTAACGAATATAGTCTCTAAAATCCTAGGCTCAGTAATCATGAACAGACTAAGCCGAACTCGGGAGGAACAAACGAGGGAAAATCAAGCGGGCTTTAGGCCAGGTAGAGGGTGCATAGATCATATCTTCACTCTCCGACAGATCCTAGAACATAGGCACACTTTTAGGCGTCCAACAATTGCCATATTTCTTGACTTGAAGGCGGCCTTCGACTCCGTGGATCGAGAGGTTCTATGGCAATGTTTGACTATGAAGGGAGTGCCAAGAAAGTACATTGCACTAATCAAGGCACTCTACTCAAACTCACGTAGCTGTGTAAGGGCTTATGGGGAATTGTCATCTGAATTGATAACAACCAGTGGTGTCCGTCAAGGATGTCCACTTTCACCTTTTCTGTTTAACTTCATCATAGATATGCTAATGGAAGTATCCTTAACCGAACATAACGACTTAGGAATCGACTTGTTACCAGGGAATAGTCTTATAGACTTAGAATACGCAGACGACATAGTCCTGTTAGGGGAGGACGCTGACAAAGTGCAGAGTCTTCTGAACACCTTGAGCAGCAATATGCGTATGTTTGGCATGCGATTCGCCCCTGTGAAATGTAAGATGCTGCTACAGGACTGGACTACGTCAACTCCTAGCTTAGTGATAGGGAGTGAAGTGATAGAACATGTCGGCCACTTCACCTATTTGGGAAGTTGTATCAGCACCAACGGATTGATTGGTGACGAAATCTCAGCACGGATCCAGAAAGCTCGGGCTGCTTTCGCTAACTTACACCGTCTCTGGCGTAGACGTGACATCCGGCTGTCAACCAAGGGACGTGTGTACTGCTCAGCAGTTCGCTCCGTCCTTCTCTATGGCGGTGAGACGTGGCCATTGAGAGCGGAAGACATGAAGAGATTGTGTGTTTTTGACCACAGATGTTTACGATCTCTTTCTCACGTTAGGTGGCATAATAAGGTAAGTAATGTTGACGTTAGGCGTAGAGTGTTGGGCAAAGAGGGAAAATCAATCGATGAGGCTATAAAGTTACATTGATTGAGATGGCTAGGTCACATGCTGCGCATGCCTAACCATCGCCTCCCCCGGCGGGCATTACTAGCTGATATAGGTGCAGGTTGGAAAAGAGTAAGTGGTGGCCAAACAAAAACATGGCCTCATCAATCCATGAAATCCTTGACAGTTAAACTGAGTCAGGTAGGGAGATGCAGACTTCCAGGTTGGGGCCCTCGGGACTCTAAGAATCAATGGCTGGAGACAATAGGTGACATGGCTCAAAATCGTTGTCAATGGCGCAGGCGTATTCAGTCTCTTTAACCTTCATACTTCTTTCTACCATTACTCATTCTGTTTCACTCTTATACTTGTCAAAACTCTATTGATTCTCTTCACTCATTTTCTTGTCTACCTTTGTGTGCTATTTGGAACGTGGCAACTCGAACTGCTGCACTTCGGTGCCAAGTTCTATGTTGAATCCAGACAGACAGAAGTCGACCTGTTTGGCTCAAGGCTTCCGGTCAAGCATCCATGCCATTTGGTACTCCCCCGTGTCACCTTAGTGCACGATCACTAGTCAGCTAGGCATTCATCTCGGTCTACGATTTGGTCCCGAAATATTTCTCGTAGTTTGGACGATCAAACAGTGTCTTTTGCTTTGCCTTTGGTACACGAGGAACGGATACTATAGAAGTTGTGGGCATTAGATCCTGCGTTAGTATACTTCGTACATTCCGCGAACGTCGATACCGTCAGCCTCAAAAGTTTGTTTTCTCAGAGTGTAACCAATCCACCTCCATTTCTTCATGCATATTTGTTGCTCAATCGATTCCTGGTTGGTTCGCTCCCAAAGATCCCTCTCTGTCGCTGATCTTCTCTGGCCATCTAATCTTGAGCGAAGTATTGAGCAAAGACAGTTGTTGATTAGGGTGTGTATTTTGTTCGAAGTGCTCTTCGTGACGCGACGCGGCGAGACGCCAAGTCTCTGATCAGTATAGTAGCAATGACTTCACATTTGAGTTGAAAATTCGGATCTTATATTTAATGCTGAGTGCTGTTTATCTCTACACAGACACTTGGGAGTAGTGAAAGATTGCCTTGCTTTCCCAATGATTCTCGCTTTGATACTTTCATCATTTCCGTTAGCCTGTAGTCAAAATTATGCTTCCCAGGTAGGTAGGTAATTAGGTAAAAGAGGTTGCTTTTTTCAGATTTCTCCCATTTATACTGGCTGATTTATGCCTGTTGTTGTTGTTGCTGCTGTTGCTGTTGGCCAGGAATCTACATCATCTACATCTGCTTCCTCCTTGTTCACCTGAAGGAAGTCCTATCTCCTCTTGATGCTTCTTCTGCCAACTTTTTGTTTTTCACTTGCACATATTCCGGTTTGTGGGAAATCAGACACAAATATCATCGGCGAAATCCTGATCCTCAGAGTATTTTGTGTGAGTCCATTTTATGCCTGTTTCCTTCCTAGAAAACATACCGTTTTTATTTATTATTTAGTTATTTCATTAACAACATTAAACTGCCAGACAGTCATCCTAAACCAAAACTTTTGTTTAAATTCTAGAAAATGTCAAATCAAATGAAATCAATGGGCCTACTAAACCAGACTACACTATAACCTACAGTTCAGATTTCGACATGAGCAATTGTAGAAACGCGGGTGATGTAAATCCTCTTCGTCCACCTGATCGTTTAATTGTCAATATTAAATTTCCTGGTTTAACTTCATCGTCAAGTCTTGATTTAGATGTACAGAAAACACAATTACATGTGGCTGTAAGTATTTCTTCCCCCCCACACACACTCTACTTATGTTCAAATGAGTAGTATCGCATTATTGTTGTTGATACACATGCACAGTATTGCTTTCATTCCTTCTCCTTTAATAACCATTGTTTGAGGTCTTTTTGAGTTATCTAGAAGTTTTGTAGCAGTTAAATAACTTGGCTAAGACTATTGTCCCTTGAGGTTCTGTCTTAATGTGGCATTCTCTTGTATATAATATAGGTACTAAAAGTAGTTGCCGTTGTAATAAAATAGCTTACTGTACGGTATTATTATTAGTTTGGTTCAGCGAACATTTTCATCTGTTACGAAGGCCAGACATCTTTTTGTGGCAGTTTTAATGGACAAAAATGGATTCAAAATCAATTAAACACTAACCTCTTGAGTCTGCCGATGGACAAACTGACGACAATATCATATACTAGAAAGGTATCCAAATGACCGATTATGTCTGACATGTTCACACTAAAAACAATAAAGATATTTAACTTGTCTGCGATATATATCAACTAAATGACGCAGATATAGTTGGAGGATTTCATCATGAGCTGACATCAATTTGAGAACTATTGGAAAACCAGTCTGAGAGTACTGGACAGATGACTCGTCCTAGTGCTTGGGACTCTTCATCAGTACGCACCCACGCAGTGGGGTTCGAACCCAGGACCTTCTGGTTACAAAGCCAGCGAGCTCGAAGACTATTAAGACACTGGGATCCAATCCAATGGCCATCCCATGAATTCCAACTGCTGCCAATTCATGACATAACTAACTGATGTAAGCTCATAATTAAATCCTCCAATCCAATCAAAAGAATCCCCACAAAACCATTACTTGAAAGATTGATCTGACGGTCACTAGCGACTGGCCCTATTCAGGCAGTTGTTACCTGGGGTTCTAGTGGGAAGCCGTGACCATTGAGTGGGATACAAAAGGTCGAAAGTGAGGCAGTAACTCATCGAAGAAGATATTGCGAAGTGGTTGTGCTATATCATGAATTGGCAGAAGTTAGAATTCATTGGCCGGTGAGTCAGTTCCCAGTGGCTTAATAGTCTGTGAGCGCGCCTCGTAACCGGAAGGTCCTGGTTTCGAAACCTGGACGAAAAAGCTGTCCAGTACTGTCTGGTGGTTTCCCAATGGTTCTCAAACTGGTGTCAGCTCATGATGAAATCCTTCAACCAATTAAACAAAATCCCTACAAAACCAATACTTGAAAAAGACGGGAATATGGATAGATCATTTTGCCACAAATTACCGTTAGAATAATTAATCGAAGGTCGTCACTGTGATGATGGATTAGTACGTTTCTTTATTTCCCTATACTACCTGAATGAATTCAGAAGACAAGTAAGTTAGCTGTAAATCTCTATTATGTGTGAATTGCAGGTGAATAAGTCAAATCCATATTCACGCGAGTAAATTCAAATTGACTGTAGCATTTCTCCCTTTGAAGTGCTATATTCACTTTGCTTTAAAAAAGCTCCAATAATGAAGGTTAGTAACGTAGAAGCTGGTTAATCAATGCTGTTTCGAAATCTATTTCGTTGTACAAATAATGAAGTTCAAGTATCATTATTATTATTATTATTATTATTATTATTATTATTATTGACGAGAATGCTGACAAGAATGAAATGTTAATAAAATTTAATACAGAAAAAATATTCATTCAGACATCTATAAAACACAAAATAATCGAGCAAAGAATATTCTTTTCGATAAATTCCTCTTCCGGCTCTATAGTTATATATATGTTTATATACATAGAATATTCTAGATTAGTAGTTAATAACAATATTAGTGTTTTTTAAATAATATCGATTTGTAAAGTAAGATCAATGGAATTACCACAGTTCATTAAAGATGCTTAAATTATAATAATAACAAAGATATAGTAGCAAATAGAATATCAACTAAAATTAGGGGAATTCCACAAAAATTCCTGATTATTCAAACCTGGATGGCCAAGGTAAGGATAATGTCTGAACTAACTTCTTTTGGATGCACAAATTAGGCTTGTTAATATGGATCCCAACAGCCAGCCTCAGCAATATTTAGTAGTCGAACTCTTAAGGCAAAATTGAGATTCGTAGGTATGCGGTAAATGACCCTGAAAGCATGATTAACGTCAATCTTGTGTTCTGTATCCACAAGATGAGATAGAATAGCGCTGCGAATAGATTTTGTTTGTCCTTTGCTTAACCACTATGCAGGGTGATGTTCGGAAATTCGATGAGAAACACGCCTAATTGCACGGCCTATGTAACTGGCTCCACAACAGCAGTTAAATTTGTAGATACACATGGAAGAGGCGAAATTAGGTAGTTTGTCTTTTACTCCGGAACGAAAAATAGAGATGGTTTTGAAGACACAGCGTAATTCAGCAGCAGAGAACGCTCTTTTTACCGCATTTCTAAGGTGCTGTGTTAGTATTTCACTAGTGTTGTCTCCTAGGAACTGCATCTGTAAGAATAAGGCCTTTTTTGGAACTGTTGGTAACTTGGTCTGCTTTGGTTTCAGATTCAGATTCTTATCAATAAACTTTTCAGGATAACCATTCTCACTTAGCAACCGTTTAATATTGTTAAGTTCCTCATCAAGACATTCGTCCGAGCAAATCTCTCTTGCTCTGTGGACCAAGCACTTTATTAGATTGCGTTTGTATTTCAAGGGCACAAAGCTGAGAAAATGTGTGTACTGACCCGTTGATGTAGGTTTTCTATAAACACTTCTTATTGTGACGTCCTCTTTTCTGGTCATAAGGACGTCTAAAAATGAAATACTATAGTCTTTTTCTTTCTCAATAGTAAAATTTATTGCAGAATGTACCTCATTAAATTTATCCGGGATGTTCTTTGCTTCCTTGTCGTCCTTCATAATCAAAAAGGTATCATCCATGTTCCGACAATAAAATTCGAGTTCATTAATAACATCCTTCAAAGGCCCATTTTCTAGTTTCGCAAGGAAAATGTCGGCTAGAATGGGTCCTAGCGGTGACCCCATTACCACACCATCGATTTGTCTATATAGTTCCGTATTAAATAAAAAGTGGACATTCATTGTGCATTTCAAGAGAAGCTCTTTCATAAACAAAATTTAACAATGCACTTTCATCGCTCATTTTCACTTGTGAAGAAGTACATGATGGTGGACTACACTTCCTTGGTGTTAGATTGAGCAGAAAATAGGATGGTTCACTCAAGAGAGATGTCTATAGAAAACTGACATCTGTAGGACAACATACACATTTCTTCAGTTTTGTAGTAATCCGATACGAAATCAATTTGGTCAGATGCCTCAAAAATGTGTGTGTGTGTATGGTGGATCTGTATAGATGACTCACTAGAAAATGAGTTAGGATACATTCAAAATACACTGGCCCAAATTGGTTATCCTAATAGATCCTCCAAAGAACTTAGAGGATCTGGACTTCGCCGATGATATATGTCTGATTTCCCACAAACTGGAAGATATGCAAGTGAAAAGTAACAAGTTGGCAGAAGAAGCATCAAAGATAGGACTCCAGGTGAACATAGAGAAAACGGAGGTGATGAAGATTCCTGGCCAACACCAACAGCCACAGCAATCAGCATAAATGGAAGGAACCTGAAAGAAACTACCTCCTTTACCTACTTGGGAAGCATTGTTTCAACTACAGGCGGAACTGACGAGGATATCAAAGCAAGGATCGGGAAAGCAAGGCAAGCTTTCATTACTCTCAAGTCTGTGTGGAGGTCAACAACATTCAGCGTCAAAAATAAGATCGGGATTTTCAACTCCAATGTGAAGTCAGTCACTGCTACTATACGGATCAGAGACTTGCACTGCGCGTCATAAAGAGCACCTCAAACAAGCTACAGACATTCATTAACAGCTGTCTTTGCTTAATACTACTTAAGATCAGATGGCCGGAAAGGATCAGCAATAAAGATCTCTGGGAGCGAACCAACCAGGAACCGATTGTGAAACAAATAGGCGGGAAGAAATGGAGATGGATTGGCCACACTCTGAGGAAACCAGCAAGTGACATCACAAGACAGGCCATTGTGAGCCAGGTGAAAACTCTAGCAGAGAACCGAACGCAATGGAGACGCATGGCTGAAGCCCTATGTTCCTCTAGGAACTAAAGGAAATAATAATAATAAATAATAGATTTGTAAGGAGACACACGAACACCAGGTATAATAAAGAGAAACTGAGAACAGTTAAAAAGAAACAATCGTTCCTAAAATTGCAATTTAATGGGGACGTGGCTGGTGAAGTGGTACATCTGAGATTATCGAGAGCAATAAAACGGATTTATACTACCACCACCCTCTGTTCGTCATTTTTCAGCCGACTAATTATGATTGCTCCAGTGAAAGACAAGCTACCTGGTTGTGCCACTTCTATGTGTATCTACAAATTTAGTTGCTCCTTTGGAGGAAGATATATAGGGCGAACAACTAGACGGCTGAACAAACGTATTAATCAGCATCTTCCTTCATGGTTCGGAAAAGACCAAAGAAAATCAATACGAAGTTCTATTTTGACTCATTTGATTGATGGTAGCAGTTACCAAGTAGACAGAAGCAGTGCTTTCAAAGTTAGTTATCACATTTCATCGAGTCTTTCGAATGGAATTCGAACCCTCCTCCTATTGCGCATAGCCGAAGCTATGGAAATTAATTTGAGAGAACAATCCTAGTCTTTGTATACAGTGAAAGAATTTTTTTCTACCTTTGTGTTTCCCTTTGCGTAGGTAAATTCTAATTAAAACCCTCCCACCTTTTCTCATTTTCTGTTTCCTTCGTGTTTTAATGATATATTTTTAAACTCCGATTTAAAACAAGCAATAAAGGGTAATAAAGCAGGATTTAATGAATTCATCGAATTTCGGTAGAACTCGTCAGCTGAATACTCTATATACACGGACATATATACTTTTGAAATTACATTGGGAGATATAAGACTGATAAGCACAAATAAACTACATTGAATTAATCATGCAGAAAGAGAGGTGCGAATGTTTTCCAGGTCATGTTCAAATAGATAAGGGGAGACAGAGTATGAGAGATTGAAATTAAGATAAAGTGCATTGTGCTTCAATTACATCACTGAGATAAACAATTAGTCATTAGAGAATATGTCAAGAATTACAAACAGAGTAATATAATTAGTAATAGTTATAATAATAATAATAATAGTGTTGAAGTGAGTTAAGATAATCCTACTGATAAAGGATAGTTTTAAATGAATCAAGAATAAGAATAATAAGAATAAGAGGTAGAATAATAAGTAAAACGTATTACCATGGTAGATTCGGAGTCATGACCATCTCCTTTTGTACACAGAGACCTGGTTTATAAACTCGAATTGCATAAGCCTCCCAGGCAATTGCAAGTATCTTCTTGTTTCTTTGTCTGCTGACAAAAGTGAATGACTTGACTGCGTCGATATCATGTCCATTGTCCACAAGATGTTTTGTTATTGAGGATTTTGGCACTTTGCACTCAGCTGTTTTCAACCATTTTTGCAAATGTTCCATCATGCGAGTAGACAATCGCCTTTCTGTACAACCTATGTATTTGCTTCCACAAACACACTCAAATTGATATACGCAGTTTGAAGTGTCGAACTCTGATTATCTGTCCACTTCACCTTTAGTATTACGTAACTTTTAAGACGTGACCTAGTTGATTTATTGAACTGTCTACATATACACATATTACTACCTTCGTTATCCTTATCGCCACGTGCATAAGCCTCATTATCATTATAATCACCGTTATTACTGACGTTCAAAACATTAACCACATTATTATTATTATTTGATCCACAAAATCACCGTCATTGGTTAAAATTTTTATATATAAATCTATGTAAATTAGAATAAAGCCTGAAGAAGATCTAATTGAAAACAACAAAACTGTTCGCTTATATTGCCTTGTTCTAATATGAATATTTAAATATTTGAAGTGTTTAACGCAGCTAGCCACCATCTCTCTACCATTTGTCATAGGCAGAAGTTATCAGTTAATGTTACTTTGTTTTGTTTATTTGGTTTGTCACACTGCGGCACCTTATTATCTAACAGTTTTATCAGTCTCCTTGTTCCGCTTAACTACAGACCACTTGGTTATGCGTTTAAATCCCACTACGGTAGGCAATAATTTCAACCGTCCATCTGCTCTATGGAGTTATGTGTGAATAATTCAATGACATGAGGTTTATTCGCTTGGTTTATTTAATGGGCTAACTTTCGTTATTTCATCTGGTTATTTCTGTCAATTTCTTTTTGTTTGCTAATTCAATTTAAATTTTATATACTTACAGAGTGAGAAGCCTATCGCCTATCTCCTTGACCTGAAACTCCCTTATGAAGTGGATGCCTCGGAAGGTACCGCAAAGTTCGACAAATCTACCCATACTCTAAGCGTTACACTTCCTTTAATTAAAAAAGAAGAACCCTGTGCTGTCAAATTTATTGATACTACTGAAAGTAATGGTGACAGTAACCGCCAGGATGATGACGATGATGGTGATGATGATGATAAAGAATGCTTGACTAATCAGGTTATTCAACAAGAATCAATTGCAGCTGAGCCTTCGTTAACCGATGCTACGCAAGTAAGTGACAATTTTTAAGTTAGAAAAGAATTTAGGGCATGTTGAAATGTATCCTTCTGTTAGGCAATAATTCTGCCTGATCAAGAACACACACAGGGATCCTGTGGATTTCTTCCAAAGGAAATTCGGGAAGACAATCCAACAATTATTAAAACCACACGTTGAATGACGCTTAAAATTCCAAAACCCAAGATTTGTCTAATCTACGGTACTATATTAAACATAAAATATAATATGCCAGCCTCAATTGTGAGGTTTCTATGGCTGAATGTCATCAAAACACAACCAGTGTGCATCATAAAGAAAAAACAGCAAATATGTGTCAAAGGTGGCCGACGCGTTGATGGAAACAGCGCGCGAGTGCCAGACATGGAATAAAGGGGTACAAATACGCAACATTCAACAGTAATGAGAACATAAATAGAGCGGATAATGTTCAACTTTAGGAAATTAATTACAAACAAAGTCACGTTTTAGAATATATTCATTCATATTCATATATTCATTACTATTAGTAAGTAGTATAAAATTAAACGCAAAGAAAAGAAATGAAAAGGACAGATTCGAAAGGAATTAACACCACCCCGTCAAAACCAGCTTGGCTTTTACTAGTCTACCTCTTAGTTAGATGCAGAAATGTTACATCTGCATCCACTATTCGGCCATATACCCTTGGAGGTGCTCACCCCCCCCTAAATATCTCCTAATAAACAAACCTTATGTATCTGACTATTAACCTTTCAGCGTATCCGCTTCCACCGGTTGCCGATCTCCTCGACAAGAAATTGATCCTTCCTCAGTTTTCTGCGTAAAACTGCCTCCATTTGAGAGACTCAGCTAGGATCCCAAGTCAGAAAAATGATACTTGAAGTCGGAATGTCTATTTGACTTGAGCCATCGTAAACAGTTACCAGCGGTCTACTCTCAAGTGTTTTATCTGCTCGCCTCATATAGGTTATCGACGACTGATCTATGAGAACTTTTGCTCCAAAGATTAAGCTTAACAAATGAGCCTTTGTACCTAGGTTACCGTACATCTCCTTTTGAGTTCCCATACATTTTGAAAAGCACAAATGTACCATTGAGGAGGCATCGACAGACAATGCATTCTGCACTGTCAAGTTTAGTGCTTGAGTTTTCAAACAAGTAGGTTTGCTGCCACATCTTTCATATGTGGGCCATCTTTGCTTCACTTCAAAGGGTGTCACAGTCATCTAAATCAGTTCAGTAATACCGAAGATCTGGTGTCATCCCTATCTCCAGTAAACCTATTACCAACTTGTCGGTTGGTTTCACAGATCTGGTCCTGCAACCGATACATATGTTCACTGTACATTTAACTCTCGTAGTTCTCCTCAAATTCCAATATTTCCCACGCACTGCTTTCACAAGATGAACTAAATCTATGTGTCCTTCAAATTCACGTTTATGGTAGACAATATCGTCTGAGACAAGATGGATTCTAAGCGATGTGACTGAACGTATTACAGAAGTCGACCGCTTCCTAATACACAGTCTCCTACTGACATGTTTTAGCTCACCTATGGTGACAGGGCGTAGTTCATTGATACGGTGGTAGGGTAACTTGTATTTGCAATATGAATCATCTTCACTTGTCATGGCGCTGACTTCAAGGATGACTGACCTCTCCACATTGTGACATCTGTCAGCATTCGGCACCAACACTGAGGAGTCATTGGTGTTAATGGCAAAACACTTGCCTTCTAATGGTGCAGCTGTGGTTGGAGCACCATGATCTCTGACGTTCGCTTCCTTACACACAGCCACTTGTACCAATTACTAACAATGTTTCGAAAACAACTTAATCCTCATCACTGTATCGAGATGAACCGTGCATGTGTAAAGAAATAGAAACTATTAATGAAACTAGGATTGAGTCAATTTCGACTACTGTCTCATATCACAAATAAAAACTTCTTGAATCATGGAGCCACAGAGAATAATCCTGAATTCATTATCACACCTGATACATTACTCAATACATTATGTGATGAGAAGAGCGTGTGACGGTTAACTACCAACTTACTGAGGAACTCTTAGTAAACGGCATTTTCTTTTTTGTCCTCATTCTCACATTGTCGCCAATGTTTTTATTTGATTTCATTTTATATTCATTTCTTATTAAACAATATTATGAATGTAAATGCTTTTTTTAATTATTGCCCCTATAATGAGAAAATTAGATGCAATATTGTATTACATGCTGAAAACTCCATATTTGTATTAAAAGTACTGTTTGGAATAAGGTCCAGATTTTCAACTACAATGTGAAGTCAGTCACTGCTACTATACGGATCAGAGACTTGCACTGCGCGTCATAAAGAGCACCTCAAACAAACTACACACCATCAACAGCTGCCTTCGCTCAATAATACTCTAGATCAGATGGCCAGAAAATATCAGCAAAAGATGATCACCAGTAGGATAAAACCAACCACGAACCGATTGTGAAACAAATAGGGAGGAAGAAATGGAGATGGATTGGCCATACTCTGAAGAAACCATCAAGTGACATCACTAGACAAGCCATTGCTCGAGTGGAACCCGAAAGGGAAGCGGCGAGTTGGTCGTGAGTGTGAGGGTGACTTGGAGGAGGTCATGTGAAGAGGAAATGAAAGCATGTGGGCAGACATTGTTAATCGCGACAGATAGATAACTGTATGATAAACAGCCAATCAATATTATGTGACCTTTTTTGTCGCGATTATTGGCCAATTAATGTAACTCACACCACGTGATGGTGACCTTGAATGTTCCTTTTTGTCTGTCACAGTACTTGTATATACATGTAATTAATGACTGTTCATTTTGTCCGTACCTTCAATACTGTACGGTACGTTTTTGTCTGTTTTTTGTAATGATGGTGGATTGTACATTTTTCTTGGTGTAATTTTATGATTTATTTTATGTTTTAGAAACAGATAAAGTTAAAGTCAAGTTATTCTGTTTTAACTATTGCTAAGCCCAGACTCTGTGTTGTCAGTATTGAGGGAGGACTAAATCTGTAGGACAAAATAATCCTACAAAGTTTCGTACAGTATTCCAGACGAAAGTTTCGAACAGCAACGCAGACGAAAGTTTCGAACAATATGGCAGACAAAAGTTATGAAACTATGCCGTCGTTAACTCCACAATTAGGAAAGAGTAATGAAGCTGATTTCCTTGGAAGCAACGAGTATGAATCACGCTATATGATAGAATTGGAGCTAGCGAAATTGCGCATAGTCCAAAAAGAGAAAGAAATGGAATTAGAAAGATTACGACAAGGTAGTCGCGAATGTTCTTGTCACAATAAATCGCCTCACAAACCTTCTACTTCTCATAAAGTCTCTGTATGTCCTAATGATGAGTCCGCCAAAACCATATCTAAGTTTCTGGACATGCTTAAAGCATATCAATATTTTAAGTGGAATGCCGATGAACTTGAGTGTTGGATCAATGAAAAACTGCAAACATATACAAATGAGGATTTTAAAGAAGTCAGTAATCTTCAGCTGAAAAAACAGAAACATCAAGAGTTTGAGTTCGAAGTAACAGTTCATGCTGAAACACTCTCAGCTCTAGATTCTACGGGAGAAGAAATGATTGGTCAGGGGTACTACGCAACAGATATTATCAAAAACCGTCTTGATGAATTGCATGCCCTGTGGGAAAGGCTTATGGCTATTTTCAGAGAAAAATCCAGTGTCATTAACCTAAAGCTTAAATTTGTCCAGTTTTTACGCCAAGTTGACGAAATACTTTTCTGGATACGTGAAAACGAAACTTACGTAACATCAGAGGACTTAGGTCAAGACTTGGAAGATGTTGAGACACTTCAAAAAGGGTTTAATGAGTTTACAAAAGATCTCGAGAATCAAGAAAGTCGTGTCGAAGACATCTATCGGATGTCAGATGAACTTCTAAAAGAGGAATTTCCTGAGGATGCCCTAGTCATAGAAAAGTTCAGACAGGTCCGCGAAGCTCTAGAACGTCTGAAGGATCTGGTTAGAAAACGACAAGAAAAGCTCCTGGAAGCCTATGAGATACAGTGCTTCTTTAGAGACACAGATAAAGCTATATCGTGGGTGAATGAAAAGTCTATTCCCTTATCCATTGAGGACTGTGGTCGTGATCTTGCCTCAGTCCAAGCCTTACAAAGGAAGCACGAAGCATTAGAAAGGGATTTGACTGCCCCAGATGAAAAGATTGTTCGACTTGGAGATGATGCTAAGGCGCTTGCACAGAAGCATCCTGATTCGCAAGACACTATACAAGGCAAGTATGACGAATTAATTACTGCATGGGATAAGCTGAAAAGTCAGGCTGTAGATAGGAGAGGTAAACTGGAAGAGTCATTCAAGATGCATCGCTTTTTGGTTGACTGGAGAGATTTGAGTATCTGGATGAATGACATGAAGACGTTAATGTTGGCGGATGATTTGGCAAAGGATGTAGTTGGTGCTGAAGCCCAAGTAGAGCGACATAAGCAATACACCGCTGAGATAAATTCTCGAGCTGAAAGTTTCGATACATGCATGCAAGAAGGTCAGGCATTACTAAGTGTTGGCCATCCCTGTAATGGAGACATAGCTGCTAAACTTTCCACCCTTGAAAGAGAGAGAGCCTCCTTGATGCAGTTGTGTGAGGAAAGATGTGAACAGCTAGAACAGTGTATGGGCCTTCAGTATTTTTACCGCGACGCTGAACAGTCGGAATCTTGGATTGGTAAGCAAGAGGCCCTCTTAGAAATAAATGATGTGGGAGACTCACTCGATTCTGTGGAAGCACTCATAAGGAAACATGAAGACTTCGAAAAGTCACTTTTAGCACAAGAAGAAAAGATGCGACAACTTAATGAATTCGCTGCAAACTTAATCGAGTCAAACCACTATGCGGCTGCACAGGTTCATGAGATTCAGGAAGGTCTTCAAAGCAGACGAAATGCATTAAAAGAGAAAGCTCAGAACCGCCGTCAGCATCTTGAAGATTCCCACCATTACCAAATGTTCGATAGAGATGCAGATGAAATGCAATCATGGATATCAAGAAAACTTGAAAATGCACTTGATGAAAGTTACAAAGACTCCACGAATTTGCAAACAAATATGCAGAAGCACCAGAATTTCGAGGCAGAAATACAAGCGAACCAATCCCGCGTCGAAGATATTAAAAAGACAGGTCAGGATTTGTTAAATGCAAACCACTACAACTCGCCAGAAATAAAAGTAAAGATTGAACAGTTGGATGAAACTTGGTCTCATCTCGTAAATGCCATGGGAGACAGGAAGAAAAATTTAGATCAAGCAAGTAGGCAACAACAGTTCGCTCGCAAAATAGAAGATGTCGAGTTATGGTTGAATGATGTTGAAGCTCAAATAGCCTTAGAGAATGTCGATCGTGATCTAAACGGTATGATCAACGCACAAAGGCGGCACAACTTGCTTGAATGTGATGTAGATGCTCATCGTGAACGTATAGATGCATTCAAAGTCCAGGCTGACATGTTTGCTGCAGAAATTCATTTCGACGCTCCTATTATCCAAGAAAAACAAAGACAGTTAGCCCAACGTTACCATGACCTGCAAACCCCTCTATGTCAACGTCGTGAGAAGTTAAGAGATGCCCTTCCCCCGGACACATCTTTGCAGCTTGAATATGGTGAGCTGATGAAGTTACTAGTCGATTGTTGTAAAGATTTCAAAGCTCATTCGCTTAACCAAATCGAATCAGAAATGTGGTATCAGTATGCTGAAAGCTTCACTACTGGCTCAGTAGCCACTCACAAAGATGCCTTCAGGTTATGGGTTAAAGATAAGAACCCTGTTGTTGAAAAGTATATTGGGTTTATAGAGTCATACCATGATCCCTTTGGTGTTCGTGCAAAGTTTGAATCATTTGTCGCTGTTGTAAATAGGTCAGTATCTAAAAAATTCCAACGATTTGTAAATAATGCTGAAAGGTTGTTAACAAGTTTACCGTGGACTTCTACGTTTGAAAAAGTTAATTTCTTACAGCCAGACCTTACTAGTTTGGCTACAGAGACGTGTGCAACTGCTGGAATTCCTGTTGGAACTAATATTCCTAACTATGATGATGTACGACAAGTTGATGGATTTAAAAGTGTTTCTTTGGATAATGTACTTAGTGTTCGTTTCAAGGATCCTAAACCAGAATTTCTACGTAATCAAGACAAGCAAATGTACGTGGAACATGCTGAAAGTTCCTTTGGATTACAAGTTGGACTTCATGAACTGATGGGATATAGTTCAGGTAAACTGTTTTGGTGTGATTGTTATGGAAAACGAAATTTCCACACGAAAACTACTGAATATGACATAAATACAGATCCTGTAAAGGGTTGGTGTGAACCAGGAGAAACGTATGACAGCAAGTTTCCAAACCTTCCATCTGCAATAGATAAGTGTCGAGCTGAGTGCGTTGGAACTTATTTATCTGATTTACCTATTGTTCTGGAGCAGTTCGGTCTGAATACCGACTGTGCTCAAGGCGATGTCCCAGATGTAGTCTATATTGATTGGTTGACAATGATTCCTTCAATTGTAACTTCCATGGAGTTTTATTCTCCAACAGAAAATGCTGATGACATTGGATCATGGTGTCAAGCACATTGTTCTGCAATTCTACGAGTTTTGATTGAAGCTGACGATTCTATGGGACGTACACATAAAGTAGTCGGTGAGGACGATGCATCTGATTTGTGTATTTCCTTAGTTCCAAAATGGCTTTTAACTGTGGCTCGTTCAGCAATTGGTGAATTCTTAAGAAAATTACAATATTACAAAGGTAAAGCGAATGCTATGTATGGATATGCTTTCTTACAACACTATAGTCAACTACTTCCAAAATATTTGACTGATTTGCTCTGGCATAAATGGCTACGTGGATATATTCTGATGCTGCAAACAAGATCTAAGTGGTTGGATATAAAGCATAACCTACAACCTGATGATCTCGTCTTAGTTAACAGTGCTGACACACAGAGAGGTCTCTGGCGAAAGGCCATAGTTAGGCAGATGTACTATGACCAAGATGGCCACGTCAGGACGCTGTGTTTGAAAACTTCAACTCAAGGAGTGGAACAAGATATAAGAAGCGTACGAAAGGTCAACGTGGTGATCGTTCGCGGGGAGTGTTAATCGCGACAGATAGATAACTGTATGATAAACAGCCAATCAATATTATGTGACCTTTTTTGTCGCGATTATTGGCCAATTAATGTAACTCACACCACGTGATGGTGACCTTGAATGTTCCTTTTTGTCTGTCACAGTACTTGTATATACATGTAATTAATGACTGTTCATTTTGTCCGTACCTTCAATACTGTACGGTACGTTTTTGTCTGTTTTTTGTAATGATGGTGGATTGTACATTTTTCTTGGTGTAATTTTATGATTTATTTTATGTTTTAGAAACAGATAAAGTTAAAGTCAAGTTATTCTGTTTTAACTATTGCTAAGCCCAGACTCTGTGTTGTCAGTATTGAGGGAGGACTAAATCTGTAGGACAAAATAATCCTACAGACATGAAGCCAGGTGAAGACTCTAGCAGAGAACCGAATGCAATGGAGACACACAGCTGAAGCCCTGTTCCTCTAGGAATTCAAGGAAATAATAATTATTATTATTAAAAAAATTAAAATTAAAATCTGGAGCAATTACTACTTTCAGTTAATTGTGAGTAATCAAGTTGATTAACAGATGGTCTCCCTCAAATGGTATTGAACTGAATCCCTCTTAAAGGCATATTGCTGATTCCAGTTTCAGACGTGAACAAGACCTGAATAGATGTGGGGGATTCAGTCCTATGATTTCTGTATTATACACGGCACTGTGACCTGGAATAAATCAAATATCTCCCATCATGGCATCAGTTTCTCTTCAAATCTCTGTCGGTCGTCACATATCCTGTAGATTTCTAAGAAATGTTTTCGTTTGACTTGTTGCCTAAAGAAGTGGAGATTTTCAGCTTGCAATCTTACCCAAGCCTTCCTCTTACAATTTATTGAATCACCTATTCTACCCACTCTTCCACATTGTCCGCCATTTTACTTTTCCTTGGACTTCTCAAGAAAGACTATGTCATATTGCGTAGAACACTGAAGGCTGTAAGTAGGGTTAGTCGTGTGTGCTTTCGACTCAACCAGCTGACATTGTTGTTGTTCGGCATTTTAATTCTTTAGAGCAGATGGCTAAAGTCATCTTGTGTGACACCGAGCATCATCTTTATTTCGAACTTTCTCCTTGTATCTCTTCCGGTGTAAAACCAGAAGAAATTCCATAAGAATCTATACTCGTACAGCGAAGTATAGAAATTACACCATAACACATTAAGCACAGGTTTTGTGTGAAGAGACAGATGTCAGAAAGCAGCTTATAACCTTTGTAAATCAGTAAATGAACAGCAAATTGTAGCCAGGATTATTATCTGTTATATTAATTGTTTATTATTCCGTATATTCCAGTACCTGGTAGAGATATATGTGTAAAACGTGGACACTGTGGTAGTAAGTAATTCCATATTAGTTTGTTTATTAGATGTATCACACACAGTGAAACAGTATTATTTACTGGATGACGTTTCGAACAAAATTTACTGTTCATAATCATTTCATCAATTATAATCACACGACTTCGAGACTTGAGTTTTATAGTTTTCTTTCTTCTCTACTGTTCGTCGTCGATTGGGTAGTAGAATTTTCCAGATGTCCAACTGGACAGGTGTTGAATCATTTCTATTACATGTATTTGCAGTTGATTCCATAAACAAAGCTTCTGTTTTCAATCTTTCCCTCCACCCAGCTGTGACATTAGATTTTAAAACTGTCATCTTATCCCATCCTATTGTATGGTTGTGTGTAACTGCATTTAGTGCTATAGCTGAACTATTCTCTAGATTTCTTATCTTAATCGGGTCAACCAATCTAGATTTTGATAGGTTTTTATGCCTGGCTAGTCTGACTGCACCTGTTCTACTACTTTAACCTATGTATTCGACCTGACAATCATTGCAGCAGGGTATTAGATTAACTAAATTGTTTTGTTTTAAAGGCTCTATAGGATCCTTCAACCGACAAAGCTTGTTTCTAATTGAGTTTGTGGGTTTGAATGCCAGCCACGTTTATTCCTGTCTTGTTAAGAATTCCGCGTGAGATTTCCGAGGTTTCATTTTGTGTGGAATTACTACTGATGATTTAGATTCCTTATTGTTGGTGTTGTCTTGCGCATATTTGATATGCATTTCGTCATTAATATTATTATTATTACTGTTATCACTATCATTACTACTTTATTTTATTTTTGCATTTGCCGACATATTTCCTGACTAATTTATCAGGGTAATTATTAAGATTCAAGGCTTCTCTTATACGTATCACTTCATGTCTTAGATTTGCCTTGGTGCTACTTAGTTTTTGTGCTCTGTCACTTAAACATTTCACCAATCCTATTTTCACTGACATAAGATGGGATGACTGAAAGTCCAAATATCTGTTTGAATGTGTGGGTTTCCTGTAAACACACACTAATGTGTATGACTTCCCATCTTCTTTCCTTTTTACGCTACAATCTAACATTGGAAAGAACAAAGAAAACTACAAAAAGACAGTTGCAGCGAAGAAAATTTTCTTTCGACGAAGTCATCATCTAGGCTGTACATTCGTGTACTTATATCAAATGGATGGGAAAGTTCCAGAACAATTTCTGGTTAGGGGTTAAATTAATAAAAATTACAATTAGGAATTAGAATGCCATAATAAACAGGGGGATGGGTAAAACTCAAACAAAGTAGCATAATAACTAAGAAGATTGACATTGTGCAATTGGGGGTTAGAAATGTAAAAATAACAAAATATACAGGATGTTTGGATAAGAAACTAGTGTGATGAATAATTGTTTATGCAATCAGGGATCAAATATGTAGAAATAGTAAAATGACAAAATAAACAGGAAGTGTGGATATGAAAATATGGTAGTGTAGACAGGGATTAAGAAAACTTAAAATAACATGAATAAACAGGAAGTTTAGATAAGAAAGGCGATGGGATGGTCATTATTAAAAAAATTTACCTGTTATTTTTATTAATTTAACCTCTAACCAGAAATTGTTCTGGAACTTTCCCATCCATTTGATATAAATACACGAATGTACAGCCTAGATGATGACTTCGTCGAAAAGAAAATTTTCTTCGCTGCAACTGTCTTTTTATTCCCTATGATCAAATGTGTATATTCCGTGATTTGAAAACTACAAAACTCAAGTTTCGAAGTCGTGTGATTATAATTGATGATATGATTGTGAACAATAATAAATTGTGTTCAAAACGTCATCCAGTAAATAATACTGTTTCACTGACTGTGTGATACATCTAATAAACAAACTAATATGGAATTATCAGTAACTTTCAATTTGTGTGCTTTTATTATTTTTTTCTTCAATTTAATGCATCTACATTTTCACAAAAGGAGCTAAATTTTTTGCAGGATATAAAAAAATCTGTAATTCTATTCTGTATAATTTATTACTATTTTTGTTTGGAATAAAGTGACTATCATTATTAGTATTATTATTAATTAGTCTTCTTTTTCTGTTGTTTTGTTCTTTCGTTAAAAATTCAGGAGTGTTCATCCACGGGAATGGAATCTCCATCATCCCATCCCGATCATGATTCTAATTCCCTGATACCTAATGTGACGTGTTCCAGTCTACTTAGTGACAATGAGGCTACACTGGACAACACCAATGACATATCCTCTAAACCACAAGTAGATGATGATGGTAGAAACTCCGAAATAATGAATCGCCACCACTTGAATTCACCTCGTTTCACTACTTCTTTATCATCACATGAATGTTGTTCTATTGAATGCTGGAATACCAATGACAATAAATCTGTGAATTGTGAAGATAATAATACTAATATTAATGACAATATTATTGAAGAAAGTAATACCAACTTAGAAGATTATCAGTTATCGAGTACTCTTCAATCATCTCCTAATGAATTAAATGGTCAAGTTAATAAAAGTAATGCCTTGTCAACTACTAGTGAACGTCTAGGGCATAATTCCTCACCCAGTAATTCAGAAGAAATCAACTGTCAAACGGCGTCAGCATTGAAAGGTATTCTCAAGCACTGTTCAGTATCAGGTAAGTAGTGTATTATCACATTATGGATAAAAATTTTCTATTTTGATAAAATCGCACAGTGTTTGTTATACAGTAATATTAATTGATGACCACGTTTCGAGCACAATATATTACTGCTCATAATCATATCAAGGAACTACTCACACAACTTTTTGCTTCATTTATATACATGAGTAAAAATTGATGCGATTAGACATTTGAATAAAATCAATATAAGATAAAGTACATTCGGAAATAATAATATTAGTGTTATCAATAAAATACAGTCAGATGGGAAATAAGATGTTTTTTTACAGTTAAAATAAGTAACTTGTTAGAATGTTATAATGTATGTGAACTGAAATACATTTTAAGATTATTTATTATCCTTCTCTGATTTGACTGGTGGTAATAATATCTTCCATATCTCTGGTATTTGCGTTTAGTGTCTTCTATTCCTTGTGTTTGGTGTAGACTCGATGAACCAGGATTCAGTAATCAATCTTTCTCTCTCCACCTACCTGTATTACTTTTTAGAATTTTGACTCTGTCCCACCCACTCTATTGTGTGGTTGTGTGTTTTATCCTTATATCAAGTAGCGTATTACTAATTAATTATTACTTTGAAGATACAGCATTCTGTTTTTGAAATGCGCTTAATAAGTAATTGGGCGAAGTTCAACAATAGCGTCTCATGGGTGGGAACGCTCCAGTGACCTTGAGCACATGCTAGTCGTTGGCTAATGGCACCTCCCATTATCAACGCTATTCACCAGCCTAGCAGCAAATTTCAGCCAGATCACGTTTTTAAGTACTGTTTGCACAATGTGTTAGGATTAGGGTTATAATTAGCATTAGGGTTAGAATTACGGTTTGGATAAGGGTTATGATTAGGGTTAATGTTAGGGATAGATTTGTAGTTGATGTCATTTATTTTAATTTGTTTATATTATCCACATTTTCCTGGTAAGTAGTCGTCAATCCTCTTACTGGAAACCATAGTAATTCAACCGAGGGCTTTGGGGAAGACTGCACAACAGGATAAGAGAGATGCACGATTCACGAAACACAGCTCATCTTCTGTCACCTCGGTGAACGCATGTACAGAAACTAGTCTAACTCAGCAACTGTTACTTCTCCTTATAACTGGGACGTATTTTTAATTCATGTCAGAGGGAGATAACCTGTTTAGTGTGTTTTCATGCATTTCCTTGTAAATATACGTCATTTTTTATGCAAAAGTTCGTCATTCTTATGATTGGTCGGCTGAAGGTCACCCGTGCGTTCGCATCCCTTGGGAAGCTATTGTTGAACTTTGCCAGTAATTGTATAGATGTAGGATCTTACTTGATTTGTTAAATATTTTGATTAACAGAGAGTTTTGATCTATAAACCTAAAGAAAAATGAAGGACTGGTGTGGGGGGTGGGGGAGAGAATATTATTAGTCCAGATTGTGTTGGTTTTAAGGCTGTAATTTTGCCTGACAATGAGATATCATCATCGCTCTTGCTGTAGGAGGAAGTTAAGTGAATGGAATGCATATATATGTATATATTGACTACATTCTGCTTTACCTGAGTCGAACTGGATTAGCCCTCTTGTGGATGTGATCTATGGTGGAAGCTTGACATCAGACCTCTCAGTGTGCTAATTTCTCTTTGAGTGATTCCATTTGTTCCACATGAAGTATTTTTAAGCTGGTTCGCTGTAATTAGTGTTGCAAAAGATTAGTAGGACATATTTACAACAACAGCACACATACATTGGTTGCCTTTAGAAGACCAACTCATGTGTATTCTGACGAACGACTGAATAAATCATGAGAAATAGTAGTGTTGTGGTGAGAGCTGTCTGCAAGACAAATTGTAGACAACAGTTTAGGTCAATGTTCTCGTACGGAGTCGGGGTCATGAGAAAAACAATAACAAAGCTTAACTTTGAGGAACTCACCAACCAATCACAGCAGGCTCAACGTGTGCAAATAAGTAATTCCATATTAGTTTGTTTATTAGATGTATCACACAGTTAGTGAAACAGTAATATTTACTGGATGACAAAGTTTCGAATAAAATTTATTGTTCATAATCATATCAATTGTAATCACACGACTTTGACACTTGAGTTTAATAGTTTTCTTTGTTCTCTCCTATTCGTCGTATGGGTAGTAGAATTTTCCAGATATCGGGGACATGTGATCAATCACTCCTATTACATGTATTTGTAGTTGATTGGATAAACAAAGCTTCTGTTATCAATCTCTCCCTCCAACCTGCTGTTACATTAGATTTTAAACCTGTCGTCTTATCCCATCCATCCTATTGTATGGTTGTGTGTAATTGCATTTAGTGCTATAGCTGAACTATTCTCCTGTAGAGCCTTTCAGACAAAACAATTTAGTTTATCTCATACCCTACCTGCAATGATTGTCACGTCAAATGCATAGGTCAGAGCAGTAGAACAGGGGCAGTCAGTCAGATTAGCCGAACATAAAAACCTAGCAAAATCTAGATTGGTTAACCCGAATAAGATAAGAAATCTAGAGAATAGTTCAGCTATAGCACTAAATGCAATTACACACAACCATACAATAGGATGGATGGGATAAGACGACAGGTTTACAATCTAATGTCACAGGGTATAGGGAGAGATTGATAACAGAAGCTTTGTTTATCGAATCAACTGCAAATACATGTAATAGAAATGATTCATCACCTGTCCCAGATATCTGGAAAATTCTACTACCCATACGACGAATAGGAGAGAACAAAGAAAACTATTAAACTCAAGTTTCGAAGTCGTGTGATTACAACTGATATGATTATGAACAATAAATTTTATTCGAAACTTTGTCATCCAGTAAATAATACTGTTTCACTAACTGTGTGATACATCTAATAAACAAACTAATATGAAATTATTTACTATCACAGTGCCCAAGTTTTACACATATATTAGTGTGCAAATAAGATTCGCAGATATATGGCTTAAATTTCTAAGAAACGGTCACAAGCAGTACAGAATAACCTTCAGGGAGGAAAAAAACAATCAGAAATCGTTGCTTCTTTGCTAACAATAACGATGATAATAATGATGTACATAAAAATCTATAAATACCTCTTGATTTTCTCAATAAACGATCTGTTGCCGTGGCCCTTGTCTTCTGTCGTTACAGTGTTATCACTATATAAAGTCACATTCCAACATTTCCATTTTAATTAAAGTTGTTCAATTTAATTGAAATACTAATGCATATATGACACATTTTATTTCTTTTATTGTACATCTACCTATTTATTACGTTAACTTCCATTCCTCTTTTGGTCGTCTTCTTGTTTTTACTCCCTTCTAATACAGAATGTAGTGGAGATGAAGTGAGCATTTCAGACAGGAATGATTTACGTGTTGTTGGTGGTGGTGGTGGTGCTGCTGGACTAGCTGGTGACATTCAGGATGCTGTACCATCTGAAGGTGGTAACATGCACCTTCAACAAACTTTATCGACTGATAAATTGTCAGTAGTGGAACTCGATGGAAAAAATGTGCAATATGATAATCATTTATCTCCTTGCGGGCTACTAACAAGATCTGTGAGTTTCTCGGAACATGTCAAGTTTTCTCCTGGAGACGCTGTGGAGGCATCACATAATGATTTGTGCAGTATTCAGTGAGTATGACTTTAATATTTGACGTTATTATCCACGGTTTTTTTGTCCGGGGTTCGATCCCTGGCCACAAACCCACTCCTCTACCTCGCTAAGCCAGTAATAGGGGCTGGTAAAGAGGAAAGGTTGGGCATGAGGTTTGCAACCCCATCCCATAAATATAAACACCACTGCTACCGAAACTTCAATGCTCTAGTTTGAAACCGTGCTCCACTGTTCTACTTGGGACGCAAAGAAATAAAATAAAAGATAAATAATATAATCCACGTTTTGTTTAATCATGACAATTATAATTATGCAGGGAACATAATCTCTGCTTTGTACAGCGACACTAGTGTTTCAATTAATCTATGTTTAGTCAGAATTTATCGTAACTTCTTAGTCAGGAATACATTTTAGTATACAGTCCCATACCTTCGACAGCGTCGGTCGACAGTTGATTTGGCAACTACTTCGCTATTACGGGGTGCCGCCAAAAATTATACATCTCATCCAACAGTTGTACGATAATGCTGCATGCCAAGTAATCCATAACGGGAAACTTACGGAATCCTTCGAAGTGAAGACGGGAGTAAGACAAGCTAGCTGGCTGCCTACTATCTCCAGTGGTTAGTTTCCTGATTGCGGTAGAATGGATAATGCGACAGGCAGCGAGAAGCTAGGAGACAGGCCTAAAATGGACCCACACAAAAAACTTCTCCGATGATATATGTCTGATTTCCCACAAACTGGAAGATATGCAAGTGAAAAGTAACAAGTTGGCAGAAGAAACATCCAGAGAAGATACGACTTCCTTCAGGTGAAAATAGAGAAAACAGAGGTGATGAATATTCCTGGCCAACAGCAATTATTATTATTATTGTTCCCTTGGGTTCCTAGTGGAACATAGGACCTCAACTGCACGTCTCCACTTGCTTCTGTCTTCTGCTGTACTTTTCACTTGCATCCATGTCATTCCATACTGTTTCAACTCTTCTTCACACGATCTCCTCCATGTCACCCTTGGACGTCCCACTCACCGCTTACCTTTCGGGTTCCACTCGAGCTCTGGCCTGACGCGCGATGTCACCCAGCAGCCTCCTCAGCGAATGTCCAATCCATCTCCACTTTCTCCTGCATATTTGTTGGGCGATTGGTTCTTGTCTTGTTTGTTCGCATAGTTTCTTGTTGGTGATTCTTTCCGGCCATCTGATCTTCAGTATAGAGCGAAGACAGCTATAACAGCAGACAACAATCATCCAGCATAAATGAAAGAAATGTAAAAAAAAAACAACCTCCTTTACCTTCCTACCTGGGAAGCATAGTTTCAACTTCAGGCAGATTGAACTGATAAGGATATCAAAGAGAGGATCGCAAAAGCAAGACAAGCTTTAATTACCTTCAAGTCTGTGTGGAGATCAACAGCACTCAGCATGAAAAATAAGACCCGGATTCTCAACTCCTATGTGAAGTCAGTCAATACTAATTACTACACGGATCAGAGACTTGGCGCCGCGTTGCGTCGCGTCATGAAGGGAACTTCGAACGAAATACACATCTTCATCATCAGGCTGGAATATGGGAATAATGCTGAATGAATATGTAATCATCGGGAAAGATCAACCTACTGTGACTTTGCTATATTGTTATTGACTACGAGAATTGAGAGAATATGAATAAAAACAGCAAGTTTTAAGAAAGCGTGAACAAACTCAAGCAGGCGGTAGCATATATTATCACTATCTGTTTCTCCTACAGTTTCAGTGAGAAACAAGTTGGATTTATGCTTAATTAGGGAAAATAAAGTGACCTGAGATCTAAACTCAAGCTTTCCGTGGATATACATCTCTGATCTGTTGAGCTTAATTTCGACTGTTGTATTTCTGTGAATAAACGACAATGTTTAATGAACAATGTGTGATTTATTGAACAACGTTGTGCGTATCCCGCAACATGCGTTTTTTTATGTGGTTGTGTTCTGTGAGCTGGATAGTTAATTTGCGAAGCCTTCATCGCCCTACTAGGCGACATCTTCAGCGCATACTTCAATTTGTTGAAGAGAGCTTTTACATTTCTCCACGAGTTTATTAATCATCTCTCCTGATGGGTGACCTTGGACGTGATTGGTTGTTTTTGTGTGTTTTCACACCTTCTAGGTTACTCGTATTGTAACTCATTGTTTCTTTGATTTGAACTTTGACCCTTTCTTTCTTATCGGTTGATAAATTTTGTCTATCTCGATGTGTCTATTGATTGATGATTCACTGGAATGCCAAGCTTCTAAAAATTCCCTAGCATTCTTGTTGTTTCCTCTGTCTAATATTTGAACGTTGTCCCAGTCGAATTGATATCCGTGGTTGTCTCTATGCAACGATATGAGCGAGGAAGTGGATATCATGTCTTTTGACGGCTAGCTTATGTTCGTGGATACGAAGACGAATGTAGTGTTTTTCGCAGTTGATACAATTTATTCTTAATTCGCGAAATATACCCATTAAGACATTGAAATGAGAACAAATTAGTTCAGCGAAGAGTCTCTTTTCGGCGAATTCATTCACTTAGCTGTACAGTCGCAAATATATATACAATTATTTTGTGTGTGTGTGTGTGTACATTAGGTTTGTCAAAATCAAAATAACAGTTAGTGTGGGTTGTTGATTACATCATCAAAATAATTAAGAAATTAAAATGTGTGATTAATACTCAAAGTTGTAACTAAGTGGGGTGAAGATTGGTAAGATGTGAGTAGAGTTACATCATCAAAATAATCAAGAAGTTAAAATGTGTGATTAATACTCAAAGTTGTAACTAAGTGGGGTGAAGATTGGTAAGATGTGAGTAGAGTTACATCATCAAAATAATGAAGAAGTTAAAATGTGTGATTAATACTCAGAGTTGTAACTAAGTGGGGTGAAGATTGGTAAGATGTGAGTAGGGTTACGTAATATGGACATGTTTAGAAAGATTACATGCTAGTGAAGGAGTTTGGAGACAATTATGAAAATAAACTAGATAATAGGTGGAAAGATTGAATGGGTTAGTTACTAAAAATTGTTATACGAAAATTGCAAAAAATTTGATAACAAAATGTTGGTGACAAATAAACTTGGAATTAAACCCACGGTAGTAGGAGGGGGTGGAGAAGTTTCTTCTGTGTGCACAACTCAGGCTTTTCCATCCAAATCGCTAAGGCTTCAGCAATACAAAGTATACGAAAGCTTGTCGATTTTGGAAGGCTTCTTTTGACTTTATAGATGACTTTGAACGACTTCTCCTTGCAAATCGAATGACCAGTGTTGAGTATATGCTCAATAATGGCGCTCCTTATTGCTCCGTTGTTACCTTTCCGTAGCCAGGCGGGATAGTGTTCTTGAACTCTTTTTGATAAAACACGCATCGAACGACCTATATACCTCGCTCCACAAGAGCAGGTGAATTGGTAGATACACATGGAAGTGGTCAAATGCGATAGTTTATCTTTAGAGTAGTTGAAGAACAATGGCCGGGAGGAGAATGTCAGTCGTAGTGTGGCAGCGAAGAATGTCCTTCTGAGAGCAGTAGATATCCTCTTCTTCAAGGTGTCAGCCAGAAGGTCACCTCTGAAGGGTACATTCATGTAGACCATCTTCTTCTGCACTGTAATGGGTTGCTCTTTGTACGTCTTAGGCTTAATGTGCTTGTCTATAAAACGGGGTGGGTAGCCATTCTCGAGCAGTGTCTTCCTTAAGAGGGCGATCTCTTCCTCTATTGATTCTGGACTACAGATTTTTCGGATTCTAGTCGCCAGAGATATTATCAAATTTCGCTTGCGACTTATTGGTACCCAACTGTAGAAGTTTGTCAATTGACCGTTCCATGTAGGTTTTCTGTGTACTGATCTGTTCAAGGTACCATCGGTCTTCTTACTTAGACGAACGTCCAGAAAGGAGATTGTCTCATTGGTTTCCTCTTCGATTGTAAATTTGATGGCAGGGTGGCAACTATTGAAAACTTGAAGAACAATATTTTGATCACAATTGTGATCGCAGATGACGAAAGTATCATCGACATACCTTTTGTATAAGAAGAATTTGTCGATGATTGTTTTCAGCGGACCCTTTTCCAAACTTGCCATGAAAATATCAGCCAGCACCGGACCCAAAGGTGATCCCATCGCCACGCCATCTGTTTGTCTATAGAAGTTCCCATTGAATGTGAACTGGACATTTAGGGTACATCTGAGTAGGAGTTCTTTTAGCTTGGTGGTAGGTATTCCAATATCCAGGTTGTTTTCTTCCAAGTATTTGCATAGAAAACAAATCGTCTCAGTGATAGGGACGTTTGTAAAGAGAGACTCGACGTCGAGTGAAATCATACGTTTGTCTCCCACTTTAACATCTTTGATGCAATCGATGAATTCGAAGGTATCCCGGAGGGAATGTTTTGAAATTCGTTCTCTGACAGGTTGTAGGAGTTCTGCTAGCCATTTCGCTATTGGATGATATGGAGATCCCGACATGTCCAAAATAGGGCGCAGCGGAAGACCCTGTTTATGAGTTTTTGGCAATCCGTATAGTCGGGGTATTATTGAACCTGTGGGTCGAATGCTCTCGAAGACATTTTCAGAGATGACTTGATCAGTCTTTAGCTTTCTCAAGATCTCAGTTAGTTGTTTTTCCGTCGCTTCGGTTTTGTCTTTCTCTTTTTCGAATACTGAGAACTTATTGTTGTCTGAGAGAATCGCCATCATTTTATTAATATAATCTTTTCTATCCATTAAGACTATGCCTGTACCTTTGTCAGGACGTGTGATAAGCAATTCTTTGTTCTGCCTTAGTTGGTTGAGTTGTTCTCTGTGTTCTTTGGTCAAAAGGCTGTTGAACTTGGACTTTGTATTCAGATACTGTTGACAAGAGTCTAGAATAGTGGACTTGAAATGTTTGAATTCTTCTTCGGAAGCTGGGACAAGATCAGTAGTCTGATTGATCAAATTTTCAAACTCGACATAAGTATTGAGCTTGCTTATGTTGGAGTTCATGTCGCAGAATCTTGGCCCGAGAGACAAGGCCTCCAATTGTATGGGAGATAACGTTACTGACGAATAACTGAATACAAATTTGGTAGGATCTTCTGGAAACTTGCGTCTTGTTTCTGCCGGTTTGAGACTTTTCAATAAGTTAGAATGGATGGATTGTGTACGCTTCTCCGTAACTACAGTGACATAGTCGGTAAATGCTTGTCGTTCATCACAAGACAATTCGTGTAACGCAGAGGATCGTTGCGCTATGTTCCTCTCGAGTTCTGGCACACGTGATATAATGGAATCGATATGGTTCAGAGTATGACGCTTGAGGGATTTAGAGTTCGGATAAATGTGATTGCGACGTAGAGCTTTCCAATTTATTCACAATTTATTCTGTAGATGATGTTGATTTTATCTTCTTTCGCTGTTGAGTCTTTTGGTTGACATAGAATTGAGTGAAGCTCACTTCAAATTGAAGTATGCGTTGAAGATGTCGCCTAGTAGGGCGATGAAAGCTTCGCAAATTAACTATCCAGCTCAGAGAACACCAAAATCTTCCACCTGAGCTACAAATCTTCTCTATCATATCTAGATATGCGTTTAAATGGAGCTTACGAGAGAAGACAAAGGTGATGAAGGCAAGCAACCAACGAACAACAACAAAAACAACAAGCACCAATCAATATCAATAGGAGAAATTTGACAAAGGTCACTTCGTTCACTTATCTAGGAACCATTGTTTCAATTGCAGACAGGCAGCATTGGTGAATATGTTAAAACGAGAATCGAAAAGGCAGAGCAAACGTTCACCACTTCGAAATCACTTTGGAAATGTGATGCAATGATAAGAAAGAACACGATTCGGGTTTTCAACACTAATGTTAAGTCAGTTCTTCTATATGGGTCATAAACATGGCGAATGCGTCACGAAAAGCATTTCGAATAGGCCACTGCAGACTTATCAACAGCTGCCTTCGTGTAGTTCATGCTGAAGATCCCACGGTTGGTCGGAAAGACTTACCAGCAAAAAACTCTACAAACGAACCAACAAATATCCTGAAGAAATTGCAGATGGATAAGCCAGAAGTGGAGGAGAGCATTGGTGGGTGACACTGTGCGTCAGGCCATCGCTCGAGTGGATCACGAGTGGTAAACGACAAGTTGGACGTGGTTCTGAAGGTGATATGGAACAAGAGTGTGAGATAAGGTTGGGAGCTCATGGACAATAGTAGGGCCAGCTGAAGTGGACAGTAGAGAACACGATAAAATTTAGATGGGCTGCTGACTCCCTATATTCCACTGGAAACCTTAGCGAATAATATATATATATATAACCCTTTTGGTGGGTACGTGCTGCTCGAGAGACCCAAGCACCAAAACGAAACAGCTGCCCACTACTCCCTGCATGTTTTCCAATAGTTCTCTCTCTCACAAGTCAAAGAAAAATTGTTTCCTAGAAATCAACAGGATATGCAATGACCAACAGAGATTCAAAGAGAAACTGGTGTCGAGATAAGAGCTATTCGATTTACTTTACATTATCACAGTACCGTGTATATTACAAAAATCACAGGACTGTATCCCTCGCCCATTCAGGTCTTGTTCGAGTCCGAAACTAGAGTCAACAGTATGACATTTAGAGGGATTCAGTTCAAGACCATTTGAGGGAGACCTTTGTGGTTAACCTCAGATAAGAGACTATTCAAGTCAGGACAATGGAATGCAGAAACTACTGGAACAGAGATTGTCAAATCATCAGTATATTTGATGAAATTAGCTTTGGAAGAATACGGTAGGTCACGCAGAATGGGAGAAAAGGGGAATAGAGAGAGTAAAACGCCTTAAGACCAACCAGTTTCCGTAAGCGAAGAAGTGTAGGGCTTTCCACTTAAAACAGTATGTTGTTTTCTACTGGAAAAAAATAGTAAGACAACCACCTTGTCACCCAGCTGGACTCAGTGTTTGCTGAAATCAACTTGCTTAGTAAAATAGTTCTCTATGAGAATAGAGTTAAAAGCAGCCGTGTAGTCTGAAGAGGTGGCTCGAAAAAACTTTGCACCTTTATCTAGACTAGAAACAGCTAATATGTAGCTTTTATTGGGCTACAAATATATCCATTTTCATGTTTATTTTCGAGAACTCTTGAAAATTAGTATAATGTTCGCCAATGAATGGATTCAGGAGGAAGTTGCCTTCAATTGCAGTGAAATGTCGTGACTATAGTGGGGTCCACCCGGTGGGAAAGTGTGAACAAATACTTACCGATGGCCACTGTCTGGTGCCAGTCGTGCTAAATTCATTAATTGGTAGAGGTTAGAATTAATAGGATGTCTATTGGATCGGACCTTAGTGGTTGAATGGTCTACGGGCTTGCCTTGTGACCGGAAGGTCCTGGGTTCGAATCCTGTTCGGTTGATGCAAACTGCTGAATGGTCTCACTCCTTGGTTTTTTCAGTACTTCTCTAAGTGGTATCAATCCGTGATTAAACTTCTTGTTTACTTTTTGTCTAGAAGTAATCTTTTTGATATACACTGATTGATTACACATCGATTTCTAAGAAAATATTCCGTCTTACCTTCTACATCAAGAAGTTAAAACATTCTGGTGTAACCCAAACCTTACTCCTACAATTCGTTAACTCTTGCATTCTGCCTATTATTCTCTATTGTTCCCCCATAGTTTTCCCCGGGCTACTGAAGAAAGACTATGCCTTATTACGCAGGATGTTAAAGGTTGTCAGCAGGGTAAGCAACGTGCCACTTAACCAGCTTGTTAATATTCTGGTTGACAGGCACTTGGACTCATGTGAAAAGTGGGCTAAATCCATTTTATCTAACTCACACCACCCTCTTCACTCACCCCTCTCCCCTTGCATCTCATCAGGCAGGACCAGAAGCCTATATAGGAAACTATATGCTCGCACCAGCAAGTACAAAAACTCAACCATGCCCTACTTAGCTCGTGTTCTGTGTGATAAAGAAAGCATTAGGCGTGATACCTGTAATCTATTAAACAGTCAGTAGAACAACTGGATCTCGTCTTTCCAACTCATATCATTTATAGGTACAACATTTTCTTTCTTTCTTTTCCTTTTCTCCCTCTCTTTCCCTTTTTCCGTTGTGTGCTGCTTTGTTTCTTTCTCTCGCTTACGCCAGTAAATATGACAGCTCCCACTTTTCTAACACCTTCAAACACTGTTCAGCGTTGGCTTTGCTACCGACGTGCCAATGTGTTGTCGTAATAATGAACTGTAATTTCCTTAATCTATGTAGAATTCTATTTATTGATAATGTACTAACTGGATACAATACTGTAGTAAAAATGCTGAGAATTCCATTCTGTATCACAAGTACTGTTTCTGGAATAAAGCAAATTATTATTATTATTACTCTTAATATATTCTGATTTATCGTTCACAGGGAAAACGCCCTTTGTCAAGAAGACACGCACCATTATCATCATCCTCATAAAAGTGATGGAAATCTAAATCAGCTGGACAATGAAGGAAGCTCTACAAAATTGGATGCTGAACTGAGCTGCTCTAAACATAACCTGTATAAATCTGTAAATGATTCTGCCTCATCTTCTGAAACTGAATCAAATAATCAGCATAATCCTGGTAAGATTGCTTAACCTCATAGTGGTTATTCGCATAATATTTAGATGTCCTTTTAGTCCTTTTAGACTTCTTTTATATTAGTTTGTTTACTAGATATATCACATCCAGTGAAACAGTATTATTTACTGGATGACAAGGTTTCGAACAAAATTTATTATTGTTCATAATCATATCATCAATTATAATCACACGTCTTTGACACTTGAGTTTTATAGTTTTCTTTGTTCTCTCCTATTTACCGTCGTAGGGGTAGTAGAATTTTCCAGATATCAATCTCTCCCTAAATTCACCCTGTGACATTGGATTTTAAAACTGTCATCTTATCCCGTCCATCCTATTGTATGGTTGTGTGTAATTGCATGTGGTGAGTGCTATGGCTGAACTATTCTCTAGATTTCTTATCTTATTTGGATTAACCAATCAACAAGGAAGGAACCTTGGAAGCCTTACGCAGAATTCTTAACAAGGCAGGAATAAATGTGGCTGGCACTCAAACCACCCACAAACTCAATTAGAAACAAGCTTTGTCGGTTAAAGGATCAGTCCTGTGAAGCCTTTAAAACAAAACAATTTGGCTTATCTCATACCCTACCTGCAATGATTGTCAGGTCAAATACATATGTCAAACTAGTAGAACTGGGGCAGTCAGACTAGCCGAACATAAAAACCTAGCAAAATCTAGATTATTCGACCTGAATAAGTTAAGAAATCTACAGAACAGTTCAGCCGTAGATACCACTCACTACATGCAATTACACACAACCATACAATAGGATGGATGGGATAAGATGACAGTTTTAAAATCTAATGTGACAGCAAGGTGGAGGGAGAGATTGATAACTGACTGAAGGTTTGTTTATCGAATCAACTGCAAATACATGTAATAGGAATGATTCAATACCTGTCCAGCCAGACATCTGGAAAATTCTACTACCCCTACGACGACAAATAGGAGAGAAGAAAGAAAACTATAAAACTCAAGTTTCGAAGTCGTGTGATTATAATTGATGAAATAATTATGAACAATAATAAATTTTGTTCGAAACCTTGTCATCCAGTAAATAATACTGTTTCACTGTGTGATATATCTAATAAACAAACTAATATGGAATTACTTACTACCACAGTGCCCAAGTCTTACACATATATTAGTAGACTTCTTTTAGCTTGAAAACTTTTCACTAACCTTTACTGAATAAAAATGCCTCATTTCCCTCTTTTTATTTTCACAGATTATTCACATGCTGAATTGTGTGATACAAATCCTTCAGAACATCTTCATGACAGTGTATTTCAAAACTGTTCTCCCCTCATCAATACATCAGAATCCAATAATGGCATTGATTCGAATCAATCGGAAAGTCTTTCGCCTAAAGACGATCTTCAGTCTAACGATATCATTTCCTCAGACACCGCTGGTACGCCAACAACAACAACAACACTGGAAGAAGGAGAAGGAATATTGAGAATAATCCCAGAATGTAATGAAACTGATGGGGCACATTATAACGCATCGGTTATTCCCTTAACTGCATTTCCTTTATTAGAATTAGATGAAGAATAAAGATTTTTCTCGGAAATTATTCTTTTTCTTAGTCCATGCTGCATTAATTGAAGTTGGTAGATTTCAGTGTGGTTTCCTCACTTTATTTCTCCTCTGATAGCAGTAATTCGCGTCTTATATAACATCAGATTAAATTAGTTATTTGTGTAGATGCATGTTTTGTTATACCATGGAATATACACATTCGATCATATAGGGAATAATAAAAAGACAGTTGTATGCAAAAGAGAAGACGTTTAGCGAAGAGACTCTTTTCGCCGGAGAGTTCATTCACATAGCTGTACAATCGCATTTATATATATTCAAGTATTGGTTTGTAGGGATTTGGTTGATTGGTTACAGGATTTCATCATGAGCTGACATTGGTTAGAGAACCATTGGAAAACCTGGGAGCACTGGACAACTGTTTCGTCTTAGTTCAGGACTCTTCATCAGTACGCACCCACCGAGTTTCGAACCCAGGACATTCTGGTTACAAGGCGAGCTCGTATACCATTAAGCCACTGGGACCCAGCGTATTGCTGAAGAGCCCCAGACTAGGACGAAACAGCTGTCCAGTACTCCCAGGTTTTCCAATCGTTCTCTAACCAATGTCAGCTCATGATGAAATCCTGTAACGCATTTATATATGATTGTTTGTGTGTGTGTATGTACATGAGGTTTGTCAAGTTTAGATAATTGATCAGGTAATACAGGAATGATGTAATATAGAAACAAGGTTAATTAGACAGCAACTAAAGTAAGATCGAGTTAGTTAGTAAGTTAGACGACGTAATATAATTGACTAAAATGTTTCAACTTAAGTCAGGATAGCAAGAGCGGTAGTTACAGGTAGAGACTAAGTAAAAGTGGGGTAAAGAATAAGGTCATTTAAATTAGAAGTGAAATTGAGCAAATAAGTTGGATGACGTGACATAAATGACTAGAAATTGAGCGTTGTTCAAGTCAGTAACAGTGGTAATGATGTGCAGAAATTAAATCGAGTGGGGATAGAGAACAAGAAAGTTGAAAATGTAAAATATTACAACTGAGAAGACAAAATAATACTAATGAAGAGACAGAAAAAAAGATTAGGTAGAATTTACTTGTCGGGTAATAAGACAGATTACGTCCATTGCAAGTGTAGTGATTGAACGAACTTCTTCTGTATACAGAGTTCAGGTCTTAGCAGCGAAGAAAATTTTCTTTTCGACGAAGTCATCAACTAGGCTGTACATTCGTGTATTTATGATAAATGGGTGAGAAAGTTCCAGAATAATTTCCGGTCAAGGGTCAGATTAATAAAATTACAATTAGGAATTAAAATGCCATAATAAATACTGTGTAATTTTGAGACGATGTCGAACCTCCTTACATTTAAGTCACAAACCATTGCCGTGTGAACAAGACTGATAAAGTTTATGACCATA